AGGGTTACACCTTCAACCTTGGCTCCGGTTCAGTTTCTTGGCGGTCTACTCGCTCGTCTTCTGTTCTCAGCTCCAGTTGTGAGGCTGGGATCTATGCGGGGGCCATGGCTACGCAGGAGCTACGCTGACTGGCCTAATTGCTTGCCAACTTGGGAGAGCGGCCTCGTTCTCCTCCAGTTCTGTACGTCGACAACAAGGCCATGATTGCCTTGTGTCAGGACCACAGACTGGAGCACAGAACGAAGCATATTGCTCTGCGCTACTTCTTCGCACGAGAGTTGCAACAGTGTGGTCAGCTTCGTCTTGTTTACGTGGCCTCTCAAGCCAACACTGCTGATATTTTCACCAAGGCACTTGTGTCTGGTGATCATCAGCGTTTCTGTACTGCTCTAGGCCTTTTGCTTACTCTGCCTCACTTGCTTACTGCTTGACTTTGCCTTGTATGGTGATCTTTACATGTATATACATGCATGCTTACTTTTGCTAGGTTGTGATCACTGTATCCCTGCAGTGTTCTTTATAACTCTGCTTGTGGAGTGGTCTTGTGACCATTTGCTTGTGCTCGGACTGTGTGGTGACTTTGTGATCCACCCTGAGCTGTGTTTTGCAAAGATGGACTACAAAAGATGCAAGATTTCCTAGTGCACAGGCAGGTCGATCGCCAACACGACAAAGTTGTCGGCCTGCCAACGTAGCAATTCTGTGGCCCGCCTACGCAGCTTGTGTGCGACTTGCCAACGCTGCAGAATGGCGGCCTGCCAACGCTGCACCCGCGCGGCTTGCCAACGCAGCATCCGCGCGGCTTGCCAACATTGCATCCGCAGGTGATTGTAAGCGCATGTGCAAGCACCTACTTCGCAGGTGCTTGTAGACAGTTATGCACGACGTGCAGTGTTGCGCACATTGTGCAGGTTGTCAGCCACATGCTGACGGTTGCACATGACGAACCACGTCGACCACGTGCTTCCACATCGGTCGACTTCGCCACAAGAACCTCGACGACGTTCGCGCACCTCCGCGGAACCTTGTCGTGCAGGTAACTTGGTCGACTGGGTAAGGTTCTCGGCAACCCTGTAGAACGATGGCCTTCGTCGTCATTGGTTGACGACCTTCGTCTTTGCGGGTCGATGACCTTCGTCGTCGTGGGTCGACGACCTTCGTCGACCACCTCGGTCGACATTCCAAAAATTCAGCTCCTCATTGGTCAAATTTAGGGCACATTCGAAATTCTGACCAAAATTCGCCTGTGCATTCGCGAGGGTGCAGAGGGTCAGACGCGACCCTTCGTAGATGAACACTTGCAAAGCTCTGCACCAGCTGCACCACTTGCACATGTGCACGAGGCGTTTGTGTTGCACACGCGGATGCTTTAGTTACTCTTGCATGGGTTCACTAGTACACCTTGTGTACACGCAACCCTTCACCCAACCTGCGCAGAAGCTCCAGATCTCGAATACTGTAGAGGGTCGGCTGCACCTCCCACACACCCGACCACGAAGTCAGACTTGCCCATGCGAGGGCGGGGCCAACTTCCTTCAACAGTTTATAAAAGTCAACCGTTGCAGAAGAACTTGTTTATGTCAGAATCACTAGGCAAGAATGAATGAACTAGCAGAAGTTTGGGTACAAATATGAAACCCTAGTTGGGGTTGTACCCCATATTAGCTACCCCACTACAGCCTACAAGTATAATACAGTTTAACACACCCCCATAGGCAAAGTGGGGGAGAACAAAGGGTCACACGACCAGTCCAGCAAAGCAAAGCAAAGCCCAGGGTGGATCACAACGTCACCACACTCCGAGCACAAGTAAAGGCCACAAGGCCAGTTCACATGCAGTGCTAGATATAGTACAAGACAAGCAACACAGTGATCAAAGCCTAGCAAGCAAGCAACAAGATATATATAAAGTACAATACAAAGAATGTCAAGCAGTGAGCAAGTGAGGAAACGTGGACACAAGGGTTAAAGAAGTACAGTGCCGCTGATGATCACTAGGCGGGAGCGCCTTGGTGAAGATATCAGCAGTGTTGGCCTTCGAGTCCACGTACACAAGCCGAAGCTGACCGCGCTGCTGAAGCTCTCGAGCAAGAAAGTAGCGAAGAGCAATGTGCTTCGTCCTGTGCTCCAGTCTGTGCTCCTGACACAAGGCAAGAGCCGCCTTGTTGTCACCGTACAGAACTGGAGGAGAACTAGGCCGCTCTCCCAAGTCAGTCAGCAGGTAGGTGAGCCAGCGTAACTCCTGTGCAGCCATGGCTGTGGCGTAGATCTCAGCTTCACAACTAGAGCCGAGAACAGAGGAAGAGCGGGTGGACCGCCACGAGACAGAACCAGAGCCAAGGCTGAAGGTGTAACCCTGTGACGACCGCTGCGTAGCCAGGTCGTCCACCCAAGAAGCGTCCGAGTGACCAGTGAGGACAACTCTGTCGCGTCCTCCAAGCACCAGCCCCATGCCTGATGTACTGCACAAGTAACGCAGCACCCTCTTAGCAGCCTCCCAGTGCTCTCGCCTGTGTCTCCCAGGCGCAACGTAACGAGCAAGGATGCTAAGAGGGTACGCGAGGTCAGGTCGAGTGCAAGTCATCAGGTACATGAGGCAGCCTACAAGCTTTGGGTACGGGCCACTCGGCTCTACGGACTCGTCCGAAGGTGGAGCTGAGAGCGAGTGGCTGGTAGCCAGAGGTGTGGCCTGTGGTGAGGAGAACTGGAAGCCGAAGCGCTGAAGGACCTGCTGCACCATGTATGACTGAGTCAGGGTGATGGTGCGGCGAGCTCTGTCCCGGGTGATCTGCAAGCCAAGGTAGCTACGCAGTTCACCCAGGTCAGTGCAGGTGTGTCTCTTCTGCAGCTCCGACTTCACACGAGCGAGTGCCTCAGTGTCAGCAGTAGCAAAGACCAAGTCGTCGACGTACACGAGAATGTAGAACGGCGGCAGCGACGTGTCTGTGCGCAGAAACAACGACGGGTCAGCAGTAGACGGCGCGAACCCAAGAGCCGCAAGTGTAGTCCTCAGTGTGTCGTGCCACTCACGTGGCGCCTGGCGGAGACCGTAGACTGGCCGGCGGAGGCTCCACTGGGTACCAGGAGGAAACGACCCAGTAAAGCCAGGTGGGCGGCGCAGCCAGATCTCCTCGTGCAGGCTGCCCTGCAGGAACGCTGTGCTGAAGTCAAGAGAGTGAAGCTCGTAGTCACGCTGAGCAGCAACGTGCAGCAGAACCCAAAGAGTGGTCATCTTCAGGGTGGGGGAGAAGGTCTGGAAGAAGTCGACCCCCTGACGCTGACTGAAGCCTCTAGCAACGTAACGAGCCTTGAAGACGGGCGGAGAACCTGGCGGCCGCTTCACCCTGAAAATCCACATGCCATCGACGATGTTCGCCCCAGGAGGGGGAACCTCGTCGACGTAGGTGCCTGTGGACTTCCAGGATGCCATCTCTGCGTCCATGGCTGTCTGCCACTGAGAGGAGTAGGGACCCGAGATCGCCTCTGCGTAAGTGCGCGGAGTGGGGATGTCTAGTGCATCCGGGTCTCCCTCAGGGGCAAGCAACCAGGCCACGAGATGAGGTACAGCAGCCGCGAGAGAGTCAAAGTCCTCCTGCCTGTCCTCAAGGACGTCTGTGCCAAGAGCACACTCACCCCCGACGGACGGAGGACAGACAGACGCAGACTCAGACTCAGCAACAAGGCTAGCAGCGTAGTCTAGACGACAGGCAGCAGCAAAGTCAACCAACTCAGCGACCAGAGCAGACGCAGCCGAGGACTCAAAGGTAGGGTCAGTGACAACAGTAGCTAGGAGACGCGTGACAGTAGGGTGCTCAGCGCGATACCGGTCAGACTCAGGGTCCGGAACGGCAGGCAAAGAGGACGCAGGAGGAGACGGTAGAGGGACACGCCGAGGAGCAGTAGAGGGACGCAGAGTCATGTAGTGAGTGCCTGGGACAGGAGGAGGACGCTCACGACGGACACGACTACCAGTGCGAGCAGGACGAACAGGCGACGCAGGACGAGACTCAGGCTCACGACGCTCTGTAAGACCTCCTGTGGGACCAGCGTAAGGAGAGGGAGCAGGGAGAGGCGAGGCAGGCGGTAACTGTGACTGCGGCTGGACAGGCGGAGGACACTCTACGGAGGGAGGAGGACAAGGAGGAGGAGCCTGCCCAAGAACCTGCTGAAGGAGCGGCACGAAGTACGGTCGCGGCCGCGCAGCGTCTCGAGAAGCAGAAGAGACTCCAGCGGCCGGGTCCTCAGGACCAGCAGGAGCTCCAACGTCCGGGTCCCCAGCACCAGCAGCAGCGCCACCGCTCGGGTCCTCAGCTCCAGCAGCAGCTCCACCAGGCGGGTCCGCAGCACCAGCAGCAGCGCCACCCCCAGAGTCGGCAGCTCCAACTCCGCTAGCACCGCCAGCGCCAGAGTCCCCAGCTCCAGCAGCTCCAGTCGCAGTGCTCCCAGAACAACCAGTCCCGGCAGCTCCAGTACCTCCAGTACGAGCAGCTCCAGTACCCCCAACTCCAGCCGAGCCACTAGGACGGCGAAAGCGCCGGACGTACCAGTCACGAAGCTGCTGCGGTGTGAGAGACTGCTCAGCACCCCGAACCGGAGCACCCCCAGACGCAGTAACCCGAGGCTCCGTAGGCTCAGTAGCAGCACCCCCAGGCTCAGTACCCGCAGGCTCAGTACCCGCAGGCTCAGCACCCCAGTCGCAGCACCCCCAGGCGGCAAACTCTCAGGCACAGTACCCTCAGCTCCAGCACCCGCAGTCCCAGCACTCCCAGGCCCCGCACCCGCAGGCTCAGCACCCCCAGGCTCAGCACCCCCAGGCTCCGTACTCTCAGGGACCATACCCTCAGCTCCAGCACCCTCAGTCCCAGCACCCGCAGCCCCAGCACCCCCAGGCCCAGCACCCCCAGGCTCAGCACCCCCAGGCTCAGCACTCCCAGCAGCACCACCCGCAGCAGCACCTGAGTCACCTGTGACCTCGACAGGCTCAGCGACGGGAGGAGGGTCTACCTGAGAGACACCTGAAGGAGCAGGACCCTGAGGGGGAAGGGGGTCTACCGGAGGGGGACCAGGAGCAAGGAAAAGCGGCGGGGGAGGGAGGGGGGCAGTGCGGTAGGGGAAGAGATGGTAAAAAGGGACCGACTCGTCAAAGGTGACATCCTGAGAGGCAAAGACCCGGCGCGAGGTGGGGTGGTAAAACTGCCAGCCAGGCGCGTCAGGGACAAAGCCAAGGAAGACACAGGGAAGCGTGCGGGAGGAGAGCTTGTCCGCGGACGTATCGCGGACAAGGGCACGAGCACCCCACACCCGGAAGCGCGACGCATCGCCAACCTCCCCCGTCCAACGCAGTGTGGGCGAGGTCTCCGGCAAGGAGACACGGGGCCAGAGGTTGAGCTGATGCGCGGCGTACCGGACAGCAAACGGCCACAGAAAATGGGGAGCCGCCGCGTGGACCAAGGAGGTACGAGCGACCTCCATGACCAGGCCAATGCGGCGCTCAGCAACCCCATTCTGCTGTGGGGAGTCCGGAAGCGTGAAGGTCTGCTCGATGCCCTCCGCCTGACAGAAGGTCCTCAAGAGGTCGGAGGAAAACTCACCACCTCTGTCAGAGTGCAGACGCAGGACAGGAAGATCCGTCCGGAAACGGCGGCGGAGCTGGAGACGAACTGTGCGGATCCAAGGGATCAGAACAGCAGGGACCTCACCCTTGGTGCGCAAGGGGAAGACCGTGGTGTAACGCGAGTAGTCGTCGACAACCAGCAAAAAGTACCGCTCACCGCCCTGACCACGAACGCGGGCTGGGCCCCACACGTCCAGGTGGAGGGTCTGCAGAGGAGCCTCTGTCGGGGGGAACGAGGAGGAGTGAGGAGCGGCGCGCTGCCGCCCCTCGACGCAAGGAAGGCAAGGCGGCGCAGGCGAGGCAGGGAGGGGAGGGAGGGACCTGGGAAGACCAGACACAAGGTGGCGACGGTGCATGCCACGAAGGCGTGGCAAGGAGGGGTGACCCAGGCGGTGGTGCCAGAGAAGAGTCTGGTGCGACAGGGAACGACACTCACAGGCGTGGGCTACCAGACCTGACGCAGACACCTGACCGACAGCAGCTACCTGAGGAGACGCAGTGGTCAGTGTGTAGAGACTCGACCCCGGCCGACGGGTAAACGTAGCCAGGTGACGGCCGGTCCTGGAGCACGTGCAGATCGCCACACGCTGTCCTCCAGGGGTAAAGGTGTCAACCCACTGATCCTGGAGGACAGCGTTGCTCACCAGGTTCGTCGAGAACGAGGGGAGGTGGAAACCCGACAACGAGCCAGACGGAACCGCCGGACAAGGGAGGACAGTGGTGGACTGGGCAAGGACTGGGCCCCCAGAGGGGTCAGCCAAGGAGACTGGGACCGGTGCAGGAAGCGGTGTGAGCTCAGTACTGTCTCGAAAGAAGCAGCGGGAAGCACCTGAGTCAAGGGTGAAGGTGTGACAGGCCTCAGCCGGTGCAGTACCTGAGAGAGCAGTCTCTGTGGGTGCTGTACCTGAGAGAGCAGACTCGCAAGCAGCAGGGACAGTGCTGGAGGAAGCAGATACAGGGGGCACCATACCAGAGAGAGCAGACTCACTAGTACCTAGGGCAGCGGGCTCTATACCTGGGTCAGGCGGCACACACAAGTAACAGTCTCCCTCGGCACTAACAGTCAATGCATACATGGCAGCAATAATAGCATCATAGTCAAGAGCAAAGACATCAACACCAGCCCTCATGAGCTCAGCCCAGCGGGGGCGCTCAACATCCGCGCCCATCTCCTCACGCCAAGCGTCGTCAAGGCGGGAGAAGCAGCGGTACGGGGTGTGGAACCTCCCACACGTCTGCCCCTTGCGGTCACCTGTGCGAATGACATAAGAACAGCGGCCACTGCCCCCCGACGTCCCACGCTGAGCAAGCCACTCACGAAGCTGCTGGGTCATCTGGGGACGCTGCTGCTGCTGGGAGCTCTGGCCCGAGCCAGTGCCTCCACTCCGACCTCCGCCGCCACCACCGCTCCGACCGCCACCGCCACCACCGCCACCACCGCCACCGCCGCCACCGCCGCCACCGCCGCCGCCGCCACTACTGCCACTGCTTCCTCCGCCGCCCCCGCCTCCACCACCGACCCCACTCCCACCAGCGCTCCCGCCACCGCTCCCTCCAGCACCGCCTCCCCCCCCACCTCCCCCACCTCCTCCCCCCCCAGCGCCACCACCACCACCCTTGCCCCCCTTGCCCTTGCCGGTGCGGCGCCTCCCACCAGGAGCAGAAGCAGCGCCAACAGACTCAGCACCAAGGAAGTCAACAGCAGCAGCAGCAGCAGCGTAGGAGGGAGCGAGGGGAGAGGGAGAACACCCCTCAAAGATGGGGGTGCGAGGAGCGCCACGAGCAGCACCGACAGCTACAATGCTCTTTTCGGCCGCGAGCAGCTGCTCCTCTAGGAGGGCGACTGTGAGCTCAGTGGGACAGCGAGCAAGGAAGTGGTCTCGAACTGAGCGGAGGGTGTCAGGGAGACGGGTGACTATGAAGTGGAGTGTCCAGTACAGTGGAGGGGGGTTCTTAGCGCAGAACTCGGTGGGAAGGGCGGCACGCAGGCGAGCATCACTAGTGCGAAGGTGGGTGATAAGATCGGCGACTGTAGTAAAGGTGGACAGATCGGGGAACAGGTACGGCAGCATGAGGCGGCTAAGCTCGGCTGTGGCAGGCGAGGAGTAGCGAGCAACGACAGCATCGTACAGGGCCTTAGCGGATTTGCAGTCGCCAAAATGCTCGAGCTCAGCTAGCGGGAGGTGACTGCGAATGGCTAGGCGAGCAGCTGCGTCACGAGTCTGCCAGTGGGAACGAACACTAAGCTCGGCTGTGGCAGCAGGAGCAGCGGCAGCACCAGACGCGTAGTCATAGAGGGAGATGTGGTCCGTGCTATTGCTCATAAGATACAACTGCAGGTCGTCGAGCCAGGAAGTGAACTGCACGGGACGGCCCTCAGCATCGAAGGAAAGAACGCGAATAGAGGCCATAGCTCAGGCGTGAGGGCACAGCAGAGCAGCGGCAGCAGCAGAGGGGACGCGCTAGAGCGAAGCTAGCAGCCACAGCAGGAGCAAGCGGCGGTGCACAGGCAGGGAGCAGCAGGCGAGAAGCGCGGCGGGCGGGCTGCGAAGCGGGCAGCGGGGCGGGCGGGCGACGCAGCAAGCGGGCAGTGAGGCAGCGGGCGACGCTGCGAAGCAGGTAGCGGGCGGGCGGGCTGCGAAGCGGGCGGGCCGCGAAGCGGGCAGCGAGCGAGCGGGCTGCGAAGCGGGCGGGCCGCGAAGCGGGCAGCGAGCGGGCGGGCGGGCTGCGAAGTGGGCAGCGGGGCGAGCGGGCTGCGAAGCGGGCGGGCCGCGAAGCGGGCAGCGAGCGGGCGGGCGGGCTGCGAAGCGGGCAGCGGGGCGAGCGGGCTGCGAAGCGGGCGGGCCGCGAAGCGGGCAGCGAGCGGGCGGGCGGGCTGCGAAGCGGGCGGGCCGCGAAGCGGGCAGCGAGCGAGCGGGCTGCGAAGCGGGCGGGCCGCGAAGCGGGCAGCGAGCGGGCGGGCGGGCTGCGAAGCGGGCAGCGGGGCGAGCGGGCTGCGAAGCGGGCGGGCCGCGAAGCGGGCAGCGAGCGGGCGGGCGGGCTGCGAAGCGGGCGGGCCGCGAAGCGGGCAGCGAGCGGGCGGGCGGGCTGCGAAGCGGGCAGCGGGGCGAGCGGGCTGCGAGGCGGGCGGGCCGCGAAGCGGGCAGCGAGCGGGCGGGCGGGCTGCGAAGCGAGGGGCGCGCGAGGGCGCTAGTGAGGGGCGCGCGAGGGCGCTAGCAAGGGGCGCGCGAGGGCGCTAACGAGGGGCGCGCGAGGGCGCTAACGAGGGGCGCGCGAGGGCGCTAACGAGGGTGCGCGCGAGGGCGCTAACGAGGGGCGCGCGAGGGCGCTAACGAGGGGCGCGCGAGGGCGCTAACGAGGGTGCGCGCGAGGGCGCTAACGAGGGGCGCGCGAGGGCGCTAACGAGGGCGCACGAGGGCGCTAACGAGGGTGCGCGCGAGGGCGCTAACGAGGGGCGCGCGAGGGCGCTAACGAGGGCGCACGAGGGCGCTACGAGGCTAGGGCACGGGGTAGCGTGGTAACCGCATGCGAGCGGTGGTGGGCCCTAAAAAAAAAACGGTCGGTAGGTCCTAGGGACCTCCTGCTCTGAATACCATGTCAGAATCACTAGGCAAGAATGAATGAACTAGCAGAAGTTTGGGTACAAATATGAAACCCTAGTTGGGGTTGTACCCCATATTAGCTACCCCACTACAGCCTACAAGTATAATACAGTTTAACAGTTTAGTGCCCTTACAATCCAACCTTGCTCTCGTACCGTATTATGATAAGAACAAAAGCCATTGATTTAAGAAGTCGGGTTCCTTTTGCAACATTGAAGTATTGATTGCATGTAAAAAGATATTCAAACATTGCATACGTTACATACGGTCCTGATTGATCATGTTATCTGAGAAGTATTTTTACTAGTTCAATCGTATCACAGTTATTGATACGGTGAGTGAGAAATTGCAATATTTTACGGTTATTACGTGCATCGTGCAACCATCGAATGGTTAGTCAAGTGCCGGTAACATTGATAAATATATCAATTTCCCATCTCCCCACAATCAAGTCCGAGCGCTTTGAAAATTTCGCTAGGGTCCCCATCATCTATTCAAGGCTAATGGGATAAAGTTAAACTTTAGAAATGTTAGAACAACCCCATGTTACAATATGGTATTGTTGATATACGTTCACGAAGTAACAAAGCCTCAACGCGAATAAAACCTCAGCGAGGATGAAGACCGAGCGTTGTAAACAGTTATTGAAGACGGTTGAAAGCAGGAAGAATTTGAAGCGCTAGCGGGGAAATGTCATGCAAGCAGTTACCGCGCCGCATTCAGACCAAACCAAACGGTTGCCTTTCCCGGCCTAGATTAGCCCTGTTGAGACTGTACCCCTTCAGAATACAAGGCTATTTGAAACTCTTCATATTCCCTTGTATTCGTGTACGAACCCTTGTACCGCACTGCTATAATCATTTCTATGTAGGTCCAATTCTCCTTATACTCACCGAGTCCTTACCCAACCCCAGCAAACTTCCGCTGCTACACTCCGTGCGATCAACACGAGCCGATCCTATAAATATGCTTATTCAGATTGTAATACCCTCAGCTATCCCAAAGGACTTGACACAATAGAGTAGTCCGCGATACATTGATTGTGTTGCTGCTAGCACGAATTGCGACGAGTTACATATTTGCTCAAAATCATATAATATTTTGTGAGCCTCATTGTTATGACTTGTGAACGAAAGAGTGCGCAGAATTCAATAGCGCGGAAGTGATTACAACGTCTGAGAACACAACGAGGCCTAGGACTAATATAGCGAAGCTAGCTAGGCTAAGGTCGCGGGGTCGCGAGGGTGCAGGTTCGGGGTTGGAAAACCCGAAGGCGACGCGGTAGTGGCTCGGAAGGCGAGGTCGGCGGGCCGAGCCTGGTTTTCCGAAAGTCGGGGTTGTACGCGTACAGTGTGACCCAGTAAGGAATCCGGAAAATTCCTTACACTACCCCCCCCCCCCCCCCCCCCCCCCCCCCCCCCCTTAAGAAAGGTGGTGAATATCCGAGACACCTCGGCGGGCCAGGTAAGCATCCAAAACCGGGTGTCGCAGTAGCGAATCAGCGGCAACATACGTGTCGTCCTCGCTCGTGCGATCCTTCCAGCGAAGCAGGAATTTCACTGAGCGGCCGGCGGCAGTCACATCCACGCGATGGTTGAGAATCTTCCAAGGTTTCAACGTGGGCTCTGCCACGGGGCGAGTGGTCGGCGCGATGGTTGGCCGGGCAACAGCTGGCGACTGCGGCTGTTCGTAATGACGCAGTAGGCTGACGTGGAATGCGTCATGGATTTTCCAGTCGTCGGGCATCAGCAGTTTCGCGGTGACAGGTGTCACCATCTGGATGATCCGAAATGGTCCCACGCCGTAATTTCGCGGGCTGCGGCAGCCGAAGGTTCTTGGTGTCCAGAAGCACAACTTGCCCTGCGCGGAAGGGTAAATTCTGTCGGTGTTTATCCGCTTGGCGACTGGCCGTGGTATTAGCCTTGCGAATGAAATCAGCTGCTTTCGTGCGGGCGGTCTGCAGCTCCGTGACAAACTGCTGCGATCGTGGTACCGGGTTGTCCACAGTCGTTGAAGAGGGTACCACGGGGTCTATCCCGTAATTCAGGTAGAAGGGTGATTGTTTAGTCGTGGCCGACGGGGCATTGTTGTACGCGAATTCCAGCATCGGCAGCGAATCCTCCCACTTGCGGATGTCGGGGCAGTTGGTGCGAATCAGTTGCTCCATGGTCTGATTTGTCCGTTCCGTCTGTCCGTCGATCTGCGGGTGGTATGACGACGAGAACTGCAGGCGGGTACCGTAATGTGCCCACGTCTCCTGCCAGAACTTCGACGTAAATTTCGGATCACGATCCGCTGATGATCGCCGAAGGTAACCCGTGTAGGCGTACGACGGTGGAGATGAACAGTTTGGCTGTATCTTCGGCTGTGATCGTCGTTCGGCATGGGGCGAAATGCGCCATTTTCGTTAGGCGATCGACGACGACCAACACCGAGTCGTCGCCACTCGTTCCAGCTGGGAGCCCCGTGACGAAATCCATCCTCAATTGTTGCCACGGTCGTTCGGGTGGCGCGAGGGGTTGCAGCAGTCCGGCTGGCCTTTGTCGCGACGACTTCATTGCTTGGCAGGTCGGGCAAGTTGACACGTAGCGCTGCACATCGGTCTGCATGTCCGGCCAGTAATAATTCCGCTGCAGCAGCTTCAGTGTTTTGTCGGTGCCGAAGTGCCCAGAGAGGTTGGAGTCTTGAACCTCCTGCGTCAGCAGCTCCCGTAAAGGCTGGTATGCTGGTACCCAAATCCGGTTCGTACCGGCTTTTAGGTAGTACTTGCCGTGCGATGTAGCAGCGTGTTGTTGTGGGTTCCGGAAAAACCTGTCGACCTTGTAGCCATGGGTGAATACTCCTGTCAGCATCGGGTTGGTGTGGGCGATTAGTACCGCCGCGTTTTGCATGGATGGTCGGGTGAGGGCGTCGGCGATGTTGTGTCAAACATTATGTATGTTGTGTTTGTTTAGGCTACAGTGGGTTAGCCTATAGGGGGTACACAATTCTAGGGTTAGGTACTTGTACTGATTTCACTGCTAGTTCATTCATTCCTGTCTGTTGATTCCGACATGTTGTTGGCGCCCTTTTTGTACGTGATGTTGTACCGAAAGTTGGACTCAAGGAATTCCAACCACTGGATTTGTCGTGGGTTGAGTGTTGGTTGCGTGCGCATGTACTGTAGCGATTTGTGGTCGGTCCGAATTGTCACGTCGGCTCCCGTGAGGTAGCAGCGCCAGGTACGAAATGCGTGGACGATGGCCAGCATCTCTTTGTCGTGGACTGGGTAGTTTCGCTTGGGTGGTTGCATCTTGCGTGACTCGTAGGCGATGGGTTGCAGCCCTTGGCCGAAGTCCTGTAGCAGGACGGCGCCGACGGCGAAATCGCTGGCGTCCGTGACGACTTCGAACGGTCGAGATGGGTCGGCGAGGCGGAGTACCGGGGGTGAACCCAAAATGTTTTTGAGGGCATCGAAGGCGGACTGCTCCCCCTCCCCCCACCGAAAAGATCTGTCGTGGTGAAGCAGATCGGTCAGCGGCTTGGTTATTCCTGCCATATTAGGTACAAAACGACGAACGTAGTTAACAAACCCCAAAAAACTCTGCAGCTCAGGGATATTAGTCGGCGGCTTCCACTTTACGCGGGTCGATTTTGATGCCTTCCTCAGAAACCACGTTATCAAAAGGACTAAGCAAGAATGTGGCATTGAATGGAAGAATTGGGTACAAGTAGCAAACCCTAGTTGGGGTTGTACCCCATATTGGCTACCCCACTACAGCCTACCAACATAACACAGTTTAACACACCCCCATAGGCAAAGTGGGGGAGAACAAAGGGTCACAAGACCAGTCTAGCAAAGCAAAGCAAGCCCAGGGTGGATCACAACGTCACCACACTCCGAGCACAAGCAAAGGCCACAAGGCCAGTTCACATGCAGTGCTAGATATAGTACAAGACAAGCAACACAGTGATCAAGACCTAGCAAGCAAGCAACGAGATATATATAAAGGACAGTACAAAGAAAGTCAAGCAGTAAGCAAATGAGGGAATGTGGACACAAGGCCTAAGGAAGTACAGTGCCGCTGATGATCACTAGGCGGGAGCGCCTTGGTGAAGATATCAGCAGTGTTGGCCTTCGAGTCCACGTACACAAGCCGAAGCTGACCTCGCTGCTGCAGCTCTCGAGCAAGAAAGTAGCGAAGAGCAATGTGCTTCGTCCTGTGCTCCAGTCTGTGCTCCTGACACAAGGCAAGGGCCGCCTTGTTGTCACCGTACAGAACTGGAGGAGAACTAGGCCGCTCTCCCAAGTCAGTCAGCAGGTAGGTGAGCCAGCGTAACTCCTGGGCAGCCATGGCTGTGGCGTAGATCTCAGCCTCACAACTAGAGCCGAGAACAGAAGAAGAGCGGGTGGACCGCCACGAGACAGAACCAGAGCCAAGGCTGAAGGTGTAACCCTGTAACGACCGCTGCGTAGCCAGGTCGTCCACCCAAGAAGCGTCCGAGTGGCCAGTGAGGACAACTCTGTCGCGTCCTCCAAGCACCAGCCCCATGCCTGATGTACTGCACAAGTAGCGCAGCACCCTCTTAGCAGCCTCCCAGTGCTCTCGCCTGTGTCTCCCAGGCGCAACGTAACGAGCAAGGATGCTAAGAGGGTACGCGAGGTCAGGTCGCGTGCAAGTCATCAGGTACATGAGGCAGCCCACAAGCTCTGGGTACGGGCCACTCGGCTCTACGGACTCGTCCGGAGGTGGAGCTGAGAGCGAGTGGCTGGTAGCCAGAGGTGTGGCCTGTGGTGAGGAGAACTGGAAGCCGAAGCGCTGAAGGACCTGCTGCACCATGTGTGACTGAGTCAGGGTGATGGTGCGGCGAGCTCTGTCCCGGGTGATCTGCAAGCCAAGGTAGCTACGCAGTTCACCCAGGTCAGTGCAGGTGTGTCTCTTCTGCAGCTCCGACTTCACACGAGCGAGTGCCTCAGTGTCAGCAGTAGCAAAGACCAAGTCGTCGACGTACACGAGAATGTAGAACGGCGGCAGCGACGTGTCTGTGCGCAGAAACAGCGACGGGTCAGCAGTAGACGGCGCGAACCCAAGAGCCGCAAGTGTAGTCCTCAGTGTGTCGTGCCACTCACGTGGCGCCTGGCGGAGACCGTAGACTGGCCGGCGGAGGCTCCACTGGGTACCAGGAGGAAACTCACTCAGTAAAGCCAGGTGGGCGACGCAGCCAGATCTCCTCGTGCAGGCTGCCCTGCAGGAACGCTGTGCTGAAGTCAAGAGAGTGAAGCTCGTAGTCACGCTGAGCAGCAACGTGCAGCAGAACCCAAAGAGTGGTCATCTTCGGGGTGGGGGAGAAGGTCTGGAAGAAGTCGACCCCCTGACGCTGACTGAAGCCTCTAGCAACGTAACGAGCCTTGAAGACAGGCGGAGAACCTGGCGGCCGCTTCACCCTGAAAATCCACATGCCATCGACGATGTTCGCCCCAGGAGGGGGAACCTCGTCGACGTAGGTGCCTGTGGACTTCCAGGATGCCATCTCTGCGTCCATGGCTGTCTGCCACTGAGAGGAGTAGGGACCCGAGATCGCCTCTGCGTAAGTGCGCGGAGTGGGGATGTCTAGTGCATCCGGGTCTCCCTCAGGGGCAAGCAACCAGGCCACGAGATGAGGTACAGCAGCCGCGAGAGAGTCAAAGTCCTCCTGTCTGTCCTCAAGGACGTCCGTGCCAAGAGCACACTCACCCCCGACGGACGGAGGACAGACAGACGCAGACTCAGACCCAGCAACAAGGCGAGCAGCGTAGTCTAGACGACAGGCAGCAGCAAAGTCAACCAACTCAGCGACCAGAGCAGACGCAGCCGAGGACTCAAAGGTAGGGTCAGTGACAACAGTAGCGAGGAGACGCGTGACAGTAGGGTGCTCAGCACGATACCGGTCAGACTCAGGGTCCGGAACAGCAGGCAAAGAGGACGCAGGAGGAGACGGCAGAGGGACACGCTGAGGAGCAGTAGACGGACGCAGAGTCATGTAGTGAGTGCCTGGGACAGGAGGAGGACGCTCACGACGGACACGACGACCAGTGCGAGCAGTACGGACAGGCGACGCAGGACGAGACTCAGGCTCACGACGCTCTGTAAGACCTCCTGTGGGACCAGTATAAGGAGAGGGAGCAGGGAGAGGCGAGGCAGGCGGTAACTGTGACTGCGGCTGGACAGTCGGAGGACACTCTACGGAGGGAGGAGGACAAGGAGGAGGAGCCTGCCCAAGAACCTGCTGAAGGAGCGGTACGAAGTACGGTCGCGGCCGCGCAGCGTCTCCAGAAGCAGAAGGGACTCCAGCGGCCGGGTCCTCAGCACCAGTAGGAGCTCCAGCGTCCGGGTCCACAGCACCAGCAGCAGCTCCACCGGCCGGGTCCTCAGCTCCAGCAGCAGCTCCACCGTCCGAGTCCTCAGCACCAGCAGCAGCTCCACCAGGTGGGTCCGCAGCACCAGCAGCAGCGCCACCCCCAGGGTCCACATCACCGCTAGGAAGAGCACCCCCAGAGTCGGCAGCTACAACTCCGCTAGCACCGCCAGCTCCAGAGTCCCCAGCTCCAGCAGCTCCAGTCGTAGTGCTCCCAGAACAACCAGTCCCGGCAGCTCCAGTACCCCCAGCTCCAGCCGAGTCACTAGGACGGCGAAAGCGCCGGACGTACCAGTCACGAAGCTGCTGCGGCGTGAGAGACTGCTCAGCACCCCGAACCGGAGCACCCCCAGACGCAGCAACCCGAGGCTCCGTAGGCTCAGTAGCAGCACCCCCAGGCTCAGTACCCGCAGGCGCAGCACCCCCAGACTCCGCACACGCAGGCTCAGCACCCCCAGTCGCAGCACCCCCAGGCTCAGCACCCCCAGGCGCCGAACTCCCAGGCACAGTACCCTCAGCTCCAGCACCCGCAGCCCCAGTACTCCCAGGCCCAGCACCCGCAGGCTCAGCACCCCCAGGCTCAGCACTCCCAGCAGCACCACCTGAGTCACCTGTGACCTCGACAGGCTCAGTGACGGGAGGAGGGTCTACCTGAGAGACACCTGAAGGAGCAGGACCCTGAGGGGGAAGGGGGTCTACCGGAGGGGGACCAGGAGCAAGGAAAAGCGGCGGGGGAGGGAGGGGGGCAGTGCGGTAGGGGAAGAGACGGTAAAAAGGAACCGACTCGTCAAAGGTGACGTCCTGAGAGGCGAAGACCCGGCGCGAGGTGGGGTGGTAAAACTGCCAGCCCGGCGCGTCAGGGACAAAGCCAAGGAAGACACAGGGAAGCGTGCGGGAGGAGAGCTTGTCCGCGGACGTATCGCGGACAAGGGCACGAGCACCCCACACCCGGAAGCGCGACGCATCGCCAACCTCCCCCGTCCAACGCAGTGTGGGCGAGGTCTCCGGCAAGGAGACACGGGGCCAGAGGTTGAGCTGATGCGCGGCGTACCGGACAGCAAACGGCCACAGAAAATGGGGAGCCGCCGCGTGGACCAAGGAGGTACGAGCGACCTCCATGACCAGGCCAATGCGGCGCTCAGCAACCCCATTCTGCTGTGGGGAGTCCGGAAGCGTGAAGGTCTGCTCGATGCCCTCCGCCTGACAGAAGGTCCTCAAGAGGTCGGAGGAAAACTCACCACCTCTGTCAGAGTGCAGACGCAGGACAGGAAGATCCGTCCGGAAACGGCGGCGGAGCTGGAGACGAACTGTGCGGATCCAAGGGATCAGAACAGCAGGGACCTCACCCTTGGTGCGCAAGGGGAAGACCGTGGTGTAACGCGAGTAGTCGTCGACGACCAGCAAAAAGTACCGCTCACCGCCCTGGCCACGAACGCGGGCTGGGCCCCACACGTCCAGGTGGAGGGTCTGCAGAGGAGCCTCTGTCGGGGGGAACGAGGAGGAGTGAGGAGCGGCGCGCTGCCGCCCCTCGACGCAAGGAAGGCAAGGCGGCGCAGGCGAGGAAGGGAGGGGAGGGAGGGACCTGGGAAGACCAGACACAAGGCGGCGACGGTGCATGCCACGGAGGCGTGGCAAGGAGGGGTGACCCAGGCGGTGGTGCCAGAGAAGAGTCTGGTGCGACAGGGAACGACACTCACAGGCGTGGGCCACCAGACCTGACGCGGACACCTGACCGACAGCAGCGACCTGAGGAGACGCAGTGGTCAGTGTGTAGAGACTCGACCCCGGCCGACGAGTAAACGTAGCCAGGTGACGGCCGGTCCTGGAGCACGTGCAGATCGCCACACGCTGTCCTCCAGGGGTAAAGGTGTCAACCCACTGATCCTGGATGACAGCGTTGCTCACCAGGTTCGTCGAGAACGAGGGGAGGTGGAAACCCGTCAACGAGCCAGACGGAACCGCCGGACAAGGGAGCACAGTGGTGGACTGGGCAAGGACTGGGCCCCCAGAGGGGTCAGCCAAGGAGACTGGGACCGGTGCAGGAAGCGGTGTGAGCTCAGTACTGTCTCGAAAGAAGCAGCGGGAAGCACCTGAGTCAAGGGTGAAGGTGTGACAGGCCTCAGCCGGTGCAGTACCTGAGAGAGCAGTCTCTGTGGGTGCTGTACCTGAGAGAGCAGACTCGCAAGCAGCAGGGACAGTGCTGGAGGGAGCAGGTACAGGGGGCACCATACCAGAGAGAGCAGACTCACTAGTACCTAGGGCAGCGGGCTCTATACCTGGGTCAGGCGGCACACACAAGTAACAGTCTCCCTCGGCACTAACAGTCAATGCATATATGGCAGCAATAATAGCATCATAGTCAAGAGCAAAGATATCAACACCAGCCCTCATCAGCTCAGCCCAGCGAGGGCGCTCAACATCCTCGCCCATCTCCTCACGCCAAGCGTCGTCAAGGCGGAAGAAGCAGCGGTACTGAGTGTGGAACTTTCCACACGTCTGCCCCTTGCGATCACCTGTGCGAATGACATAGGAACAGCGGCCACTGCCCCCCGACGTCCCACGCTGAGCAAGCCACTCACGAAGCTGCTGGGTCGACTGGGGACGCTGCTGCTGCTGGGAGCTCTGGCCCGAGCCGGTGCCTCCACTCCGACCTCCACCGCCGCCACTACCTCCGCTCCGACCGCCACCACCGCCACCGCCACCGCCACTACCGCCACCGCCGCCACTGCCGCCGCTGCCACCACCGCCACTGCTCCCGCCGCCGCCCCCGCCTCCGCCGCCGGCCCCACTCCCCGGCAGCACTCCCCAGCCACCGCTCCCTCCAGCACCGCCTCCCCCCCCACCTCCCCCACCCCCTCCCCCCCCAGCGCCACCCCCGCCACCCTTGCCCCCCTTGCCCTTGCCGGTGCGGCGCCTCCCACCAGGAGCAGAAGCAGCAGCGCCAGACTCAGCAGCAAGGAAGTTAACAGCAGCAGCAGTAGCATAGGAGGGAGCGAGGGGAGAGGGAGAGCACCCCTCAAAGATGGGGGTGCGAGGAGCGCCGCGAGCTACAGCTACAATGCTCTTCTCGGCTGCTAGCAGCTTCTCCTCTAGGAGGGCGACTGTGAGCTCAGTGGGACAGCGAGCAAGGAAATAGTCGCGCACTGAGCTGAGGGTGTCAGGGAGACGGGTGACTATGAAGTGGAGTGCCCAGTACAGGGGAGGGGGGTTCTTAGCGCAGAACTCGGTGGGAAGGGCGGCACGCAGGCGAGCATCACTAGTGCGAAGGTGGGTGATAAGATCGGCGACTGTAGCAAAGGTGGACAGGTCAGGGAACAGGTAAGGCAGCATGAGGCGGCTAAGCTCGGCTGTGGCAGGTGAGGAGTAGCGAGCAACGACAGCGTCGTATAGGGCTTTAGCGGTTTTGCAGTCGCCAAAGTGCTCTAGCTCAGCTAACGGCAGGTGACTGCGAATAGCCAGGCGAGCTGCAGCGTCACGAGTCTGCCACTGTGAACGTACACTAAGCTCGGCTGTGGCAGCAGGAGCAGCGGCAGCACCAGACGCGTAGTCATAGAGGGAGATGTGGTCCGTGCTATTGCTCATAAGATACAACTGCAGGTCGTCGAGCCAGGAAGTGAACTGCACGGGACGGCCCTCAGCATCGAAGGAAAGAACGCGAATAGAGGCCATAGCTCAGGCGTGAGGGCACAGCAGAGCAGCGGCAGCAGCAGAGGGGACGCGCTAGAGCGAAGCTAGCAGCCACAGCAGGAGCAAGCGGCGGTGCACGGGCAGGGAGCAGCAGGCGAGGCGGGCGGCGCTGCAGGCGGGAAGTGCGGCGGGCGGGCTGCGAAGCGGGCAGCGGGGCGGGCGGGCGACGCGGCGAGCGGGCAGCGCGGCGGGCGGCTGCGAAGCGGGCAGCGGGCGGGCGGGCGACGCTGCAAGCGGGCAGCGGGCGGGCGGGCGACGCTGCAAGCGGGCAGCGAGGCGGGAGGGCGACGCTGCGAGCGGGCAGCGGGCGGGCGGGCGACGCTGCGAGCGGGCAGCGAGCGAGCGGGCGACGCTGCGAAGCGGGCAGCGGGCGGGCGGGCGACGCTGCGAGCGGGCAGCGAGCGAGCGGGCGACGCTGCGAAGCGGGCAGCGGGCGGGCGGGCGACGCTGCGAGCGGGCAGCGAGCGAGCGGGCAGCGAGCGGGCGGGCGGGCTGCGAAGCGGGCAGCGGGGCGAGCGGGCGACGCTGCGAGCAGGCAGCGCGGCGGGCGGGCGGCGAGCGGGCAGCGTGGCGGGCGGGCGACGCTGCGAGCAGGCGGCTCGGCGGGCGGGCGACGCTGCGAGGGGCGCGCGAGGGCGCTAACGAGGGGCGCTCGAGGGCGCTAGCGAGGGCGCGCGAGGGCGCTAACGAGGGGCGCGCGAGGGCGCTAACGAGGGCGCGCGAGGGCGCTAACGAGGGCGCGCGAGGGCGCTAACGAGGACGCACGAGGGCGCTACGAGGCTAGGGCACGGGGTAGCGTGGTAACCGCATGCGAGCGGTGGTGGGCCCTTAAAAGAAACGGTCGATAGGTCCTAGGGACCTCCTGCTCTGAATACCATATCAAAAGGACTAAGCAAGAATGTGGCATTGAATGGAAGAATTGGGTACAAGTAGCAAACCCTAGTTGGGGTTGTACCCCATATTGGCTACCCCACTACAGCCTACCAACATAACACAGTTTAACACATGTGCCCTAAAAACTCCAACTCCGGTTTTAGGAACTCGCACTTAGACCCCTTCGTAATCAGCCGATGCCCCTGTAAACGCCGGAACACCTCCTCTAAATCCCGCAGATGGTCCTCTTTTGCCGCGTTGTACATCAAGATATCGTCCAGATACACGATGACCTTCTTGTACAGCATGTCCCGAAAAGCGGTCTTCGGGCAGTCGTCGGCGAACACGCGAATTTGGTGGTAGCCCCCTCGCAAGTCGATTTTCGGAAAATACCGAGCTCCGCGAAGTTGATCCAGCAGAAGGTCGGTTCGCGGGATCTGGTAACGCGACTTTATCGTGACCCGATTCAGCGCCCGATAATCAATGCACATGCGTAGGCCCCCGTCCTTCTTCGGTGTGAACAGTATCGGTGCTGAATACGGCGACGTGCTTGGCCGGATAAATCCCTTGGCGAGTAGGTAATCCAGCTGGGCCCGTAGCTCGGCGAGCTGTGGTTGGCTGAGCCGCCACTGTGTCCGCACAGTAGGTTGCGCGCCAGGCTCCAGCTGGATCCGATGATCCTCAGGTCGTTGGGGGGGCAAGCCATCCGGGAGGTCATCCGCGAAAATTTCGGGATACCTCTGAATAATGATCGCCAATTCCTTGGGGACTGCTGCGCAGAGGGTGTCGATGTCCGCGATTTTCTCGGAAGCTGCCACCTCGTACAGGTGCACCAAGAAGGCTTGAGCTCCGCTGTTCATCGCACGCTGCATGTTGACCGCGTTGACACGTGTCGTCACCGGCTCCGGCTCCGTCCATTTCGGAAGCGTCGTCTTCCCTCCGTATCCTCGCACGACGCACAACCCAGTCGTCCAGTCGATCGTCGGATTGAAGCGCTGCAGCCAATCCCTCCCCAGCAGCACATCGCAGCCGTCCAACGTCGTCGCCAACATCTTCATGCCAAACCCGAATTTGTCGCCGCACTGTATCCGAATTTTTTGCGCCTCATCTCAAATGGCCAGCGGTGTCCCGTCCACCAACCTGGCATCAATCTCCGGCAGACACCTGGTCAGCTTCACCCCAATTTTTTTGGCCGTTGCCAGGTTGACGAGACTGTGGCTCACCCCTCCGTCAACGAATATTTCTATTTTATAACCGTTAACCCTCCCCACCACCAGCACAGGGTAGTCCACGTGTTCACCCACGTTATTCGTCCGGTTCTGGTCGATAGCTCTGATCGGTACCACGACCCGGTGTGGATGGTGATTGTCGGGCGACAGGGTCTCGTCAGTAGGTGGCCCTTCTGCTACTGACTCGTATCTTTTCCCGACCCTTCTCCGTCGTTCTTCTTCCCCTGCTTAAGCCTCGGGCAGTCTTTTTTCAGGTGGCCCAGCTGGTTGCATAAAAAGCACGGCCCAAGGGCTCGGCTTGGTGCATCCACGCCGTTGATCGTGGGCTGCTGAGTCGATCCACGAAATCGAGGGCCCTCCCGGGAGCTCGATCTCGCCCACTGCATCAGCGCATCCGTTGACTCGGCTTCTTGGACGGAGTCGTTGAAGCTGCGTGGCCGGGCTCGTCGGACCTCGTACTGTATCTCGTATTTCAGGCCCGCCACGTAGCGATCCAACCGCTCCGCATCGCTCATGTCGTCCACTTGGTCCGCCAAGTTGCAGAATGTGCTGGTGTAGTCTTGGACTGAAGTCAGCTGCTTCCAGGCACGCAGCTTCATGCGAGCAGAATCCGAGGCGGATATGTGCTCGAATCTGGTTCGCAAGGCGGCGCCCCACTCCTTCCATGTGCGTATCGTGGCCGTCTTAGAAATCGATTCTGCCTGATGCGTGACAGGTGTTGAAGTCCCGTCGTTCGCACGTGCTATTCCTGCCGAAGTCCCTTCGTGCTGCAGCGTTCGCCTCCACCACTCCAGCGCAGGTCCTCGCAACTTTGAAACTGCGAAATTAATGCGGGTGGCATCGTCATAAATCATGGCAGCATTGAAAAACACCTCCACGCCGAACAACCATGCAGAAACAGTGACGAACTTGTCACTTGGGTTAAACGGGGGCGGGTTTGTCGGCTTGATTTTAACGAAAGCCTTTGCTGCCATCGGGCCGTTGGCATCGCTGCTGGCGTCGCCGTCGTCGTCGCTGCTGCACGTGTCGGTGCTGCACGCGACTGTTGCGGTGACTGTTGCTGCTGCGCCTGCCTCGCCTCGTCCGCTTCTATTTCGCCTTCCAGCTCGTCCCAGACCCGCTCATCTGGTGCAGTGCTGCTACTTGCGTCGTCCACGACAGGCGACTCCTGGCGCGCTTCACCACGCGCCTGGTGTAGTTCGGCGTTTTCCTTCTGGAGACGCTCCATTTCTGCAGACATAGTCTGCATGGTGGCCTGCATCTCCCGGAACTGTTGCATGAACTCGTTGAACTCCGCCTGGTCCATGTGTCGCAGGCTTCGTCTAACGGGCAGGGGGTGGCTCGCGATTTTTCTGACTTCGGTGAAGGCGTTAATGCTATCGTAGTCGGAGTGGAATAATCAGATCTATTCCACGGGCCGACCGCTTAACAGCCCACCAAGTCTATCGCTCCCCTTCTACAAACTACCCCGGAAACGCGAGGGTAACCTAGGAAATTAGGCTCTGATACCAAGTGTTATGAGTTGTGAATGAAAGAGTGCGCAGAATTCAATAACGCGGAAGTGATTACAACGTCTGAGAACACAACGAGGCCTAGGACTAATATAGCGAAGCTAGCTAGGCTAAGGTCGCGGGGTCGCGTGAATGGTTGGGTGCAGGTTCGGGGTTGGAAAACCCGAAGGCGACGCGGTAGTGGCTCGGAAGGCGAGGTCGGCGGGCCGAGCCTGGTTTTCCGAAAGTCGGGGTTGTACGCGTACAGTGTGACCCAGTAAGGAATCCGGAAAATTCATTACACTTTTGCTTTCTCGCCACCCGCATATACCTGCGATAGAATTGTGAGACGCGTGTTTGCAGTCTCTCACCACCTTAGATGCAAAGGCACAATGCCGCAGTGATAAAATGTTGTAAAACATGATAATGGAACAATAACATTTGCTGGACCAGACATCGCATATATGTGATCTGACATAATTTGACCAGATCCGATCTGACCTGCAGGGTCCATTATTTTGGGATGCTTCTTGTGCCTTCCTTGACCACTTGTGGGTAGAGACTTTAAGGGAGGTATAGCTCTAATAATAGGGCCCTCTCACATTCTTCAGCTTTAAAGAAAGAATGTAGATGAAGGGATGAACACTATCTAAGAAAATGCATTCAAGCACAGTTGGCATTTTGTCGTGGAGCTGAAATTGCTGCAACCCAGTGGGCCTGGGTGGTGGGAAGCAGCCGATTGGTGGATGAGCATCAAGTAGTAATCGTGCACGTCATTGCTGCCAGCCTCACGTGAATTGCTGCCCACCTCAGTGTTCTCCTTTTAGTAGTTTGTGCCCCCAATATTTGCGGGTCAATTTGGTTCTATTGCGTTGTGCGAAAGCTGTGTGTAGCCATCGAACCCATGAATTGGCGTATTTGTGTCTATTGCAGAACATACCTCGTTCGCACGTCAGGAACATCCTGCCCCCCTCCTTCCCCAAACAAAATCCTTGCCTAGTCCATCCATTCCATCCAGGCATCGAAATGCAAATTCGGGTGAATGACTTCCAGCCCTCGTCATCTCGGGCAGTCAAACCTCCCACACAGTGCTCCATTTTTCAAATTTCCAAACACGCGCCCGCGGCGGCGCCCAAAGGGTGTCATGTCACTGACGTTTCTCGCTTGCGACCGAACCACAAGGGGGAGGGCGAGCCAGCCGGGCCAGGTCCAGGCCACAGCAGCAGGGTGGGTGGCCGAATGCGCGCCATCAGATCAATTTACCTATTTGCTCCGCGATGCGCCGCGCGGCTCTGACTGGAGCGGATTGAATCACGTGATGCATTTTCGACGGGGCAACATTTGCTTCCGTCCACTTCCTGCCTGCCTTCCTTACCTCTCGCTGCTTGCTTTCATCGTTGCAGCAGCTCTAAGCTTCGTCCCTCTACCTCCCTAGCCGCACCCTATCTCGATGATCCATCCAATATGCCTTTCGTTACTGCGGGCTTGGCCGGACCCCGAGCAGAGGCCCACTCTTGCAGCGGAATGAGCGAGTCGTCATTTTCGGGAGCCAGCAACAATTCAGTGTTATCTCAAGTACGAACAGCACTAGGTAGTCGCAGCACAACTGCGCGTCGTACTGCTCATGGAACAGGATTTCAGCAAATTATGGCTACCTCAGGAATTCAGCGTAGTTTTGCCGTGGAATCCTCATTCCTCCTGTCAGTCACAAAGGGTAGCAAAGGGTAGCTGCGATTCGCCACGTCGTTTGATGTAAATAATGCATTTTTCACCTTCCGACTTCCGACTCCCATGTCTTCCGCTCTCGTGGGTACTACTACCCCCTTCAGTCAATGGGCCCGATCAGAAATAACTCCTCTCTTCAAGCCGTGTCGTTACCACGCCGCTCATGTCGTCTAATCGCCGGACTCTCGCAAACGATCAGCACGCATCAGCGGCAGACGAGCCGCGCGCGCCCCCTCAGAGTCTCCCATCTCAAGGTCAGTTGGATTTCTCAAGTTTCTTTCCCGCGCTCGTCGGCGGCGGAGTACGCTCAGCTGCAATTGCGGCGGCCGAAGCGGCGAGTTTCCCTGCTATGGCATCGGCGACGGGACTAGACGTGCAGCGTCCCATAGCCACCCCAAGGTATTTGTGCGACTCGGGAAGCGATGCGGCAAGTTTGAATTCGGAGACTCTCGCCTTTCTCCTCGCGAATCCCGCCGCCGCGTTGGCGACACTGTCGCACACGTCGCCCAGCACGCAGCTCCCGAGAAACTCGTCGCACACTTTGCAATTTGGCGGCGCGATTCCAACTACAGGGCCGAGTCAGCATTCAGTTCGGCATGCTTCGCTCGCCACAGCGGATTCCCTTGCTCACTTGACGACCCGCACATGGCTCCCGCAACACACCGCAATGAACGGCGGAGCTAGCGGCGCAAGAAGCGGCGTTCGGATGGCCTCTTCCCCTTCCGACAGCATCGCCGCAGCGGCGTCGGCGTTAAATCACAACTTCTGGCGACCCGTTGACTCCGTTGACCAGCGCGCCGTTGACTGGGCGGGCTGCGACGTGCCTGCGTTGTCGCACCTGCTACTGCTAGAGCAGATGCGACAGATGCGGCAGATGGAACAAGGGGAGCAAATAAACAAGGCCGCGGCCGACTCCGCAAGACGCGGCGAAACAACAGGCGGCGGCAGCGAGCGCACAGATTACGGCAGCTGCGGGGCGGGGGTTGGTGCTGGCGGCGTGAATAACGCGGAGCGCACGTGGGAGACGATCGGGAGTGGGGAGGAGCCCGCGGCGGGTGCTTCGAATGGTTTAACGGCGGCGGACGCGGCGCTGCTTTCGCAGCTCCGCAGCGCGCACGACTCGCTTCCCCGCCCCTCATTCCAATCGCCCACCGCGCCGCGTGTTAGGACCCCCGCGTCTGGCGGCGACGCATGCTGGGAAGCGTCCGAGGCTCCGGGCGCCGGGTTTAGGGAGCCTCGAAGACTGCGCGCACCAGACGGCGGGAGTTGCGGGCTACAGTTGGTGGTTGCGGAACAGCTGAACCAGCTGCAGCGAGAGGAGCGCCGCGACTCGCGGGAAGCACCGCGAGATAGCGATCTGGGAACGCGGCGCGGTGCGACGGGAGAGCAGCGGGAATCCGGGCGATACGACCATCGGTTTGAGAGAGCGGTAGGAACTGAAGACACGTGTCCTGCACACGCGAGGCCGTCGCCTCTACTATTTCTCACACCCGGCTTCCGCAATTCCAGCGCGGGCGACAGGGAAGGCGGGGTGACTGTCGACGGTCGCAGCACGGACGGGCTTGCGGCCGACCTTGGTTTAGCGTCGCAACTGCTTGTAGATGGTGTCGCGATAAGCAATAGCGGGGATGCGAGCGGGAGCAGGGGGCAGCAGAATTTGTGGAGTCCGAGCAACACGCAAAGCCGCAGCGGAAACGACTGGGGCTTGGGAGGCAGGGAGGAGAGGAGCAGGAGCGGCGGGGGCATGGCGCCTCCCACTCGCCCCGCGAGTGCCGCCATCACCAGCGCCAACGCCCGCGCTGTCGGCGCAACTGCTGCCGGCGCGGCCGCTGCTGGCGCAGCCGCTGGCGGAGCTTCCGCCGTTGCTGGTGCAGGCGACAGCACGCACCGGGACCCGCACGAGGCAGCACCCGCCGGGCAGGTGCCACGTGGCAGCAGGTCGAAGAGCGTTGGTCAGATGCAAGCGGCTCGGATTCTGCAGGCGCTGGAGCACGGCGCGCGGGAGAGAGTGAAGCGGAGGCGCACGCAGCAGAAACACCTCGCGCATCTGCAGCTGCAGCAGCAGCAGGAGGAACAGCAAGGGCAGCACGATCAAGGGCAAGGGCAAGGAGAACAGCAGCAGCCGGGTGGTCCTCGGCTTTGCATTACTGACCTCTCCCCAGTCCGTCTCCTCTACTCCCCTTCTTGCGCCCACTGCTGCCTCCTCACACACTCCCGCGCACGTAGCACCGCGCGCGGTGCATATCCCCTCAGTTCCCATGGCATGGGTCCACGCCCCCTTTGCACCATTGGCGGAGGCGCGGGGAGGCGCGCAGGGGCGCAACGAGGGCGAGGCGGAGAGGCGGCGGAAAGAGCAGGAGCGGGTGGCGTTTGATTGGAGCGAGAAGGGTCCGCGGAGCCACAGCGAGGCGGAGAAGCGCAGGCGCGAGCGCATCAACCAGCAGCTGAACGTGCTGCGCGCGCTGCTGCCAGGCGCGCGCATGGGGAAGGCGGACAAGGCGAGCGTGCTGGCGGAAGCAGTGGCGCAGCTGCGCGCGCTGAAGGCAGGCCTGGAGGGAAGCTGCGGGGGTAAGGACGAGGGGGAGCATGGGGAATTGAACGGGCAGCAGGTAACGGGGCAAGAGGGAGCAGAAGAGGTGGCAGGGGAGGGTCGGAGGGATGAGAGAGAGGGGGAGAAGCAGGGAGCAGAGAGATCAGAGAGAGCAGAGAGGGCAGATGCAGAAGGAACAGAAGGGGCGGCAGGGGCAGAAGGGGCAGCAGGGGCAACATGGGCAGCAGCAGGGCTGGTTGGTTCCAGTCTGCTGGCATGTGGCAGGGTGCCTGAAGCCACTCCCAGGGAGGACGATGCAGTGGAGGTAGACCTGGTGTGGGCGCATGTAGAGGAGGAGGGGAGGGAGGATGGGTTGGGGGAGGAGGTGGGGGAGGAGCAGGAGGAGGAGCAGGGAGAAATGGTCCGGAGAAGCGGAGAGGGGCTGACGGGGCGCAAGAGGAGGCGAGGGAGTGAGGGGGAGAGGGCGGTGTGTGTGTGCATTTGGTGCGAGGATGGGGATGGTCTGCTGCCTGCCATCGAGGCAGCTTTAAAGGTACGACTAGCACCACCAACTATTATGCATGGATTAGACACACTCATAGTCCATGTTCTTTGCCATGCTGGTCTTCCCTCGCGTTTCGTATCACCTCACCTTGTCCCACCCATCCACGCTGGCCCTCTTTTTCTCCCCTCCCCTTGCTGCGTCCACAGCCCTTCCCTCTCCGCCTCGCGAGCCTCGAGTCTGCCTCCTGTGCTTCACGTGTCGCCCACATGATGCTGCTGCATGCCTGTCCTTCTCTGGCTGCTGCTACTGCTGATACCGGCCCTGCTGCATCTTGTCCTGTTGCTCCTGATTTCAAGTCAGCATTGGCTGCTCGCCCTCCTGGTGCTGCTTCTGCTACTGCATTTGGTGCTCCAGGCCAATCAGCAGCAGCAGCAGCTGAACAGGAGCAGCAGCACGAGGGAGTGGGGAGAGCAGGGGCAGAGGTGTACGAGTGCGGGGAGGATGCTTCACAGGCAATAATAGCAGGTGGGGAAGGCGGGGTGGCTCAGTACGTGCGTGAGGTGCGGGCAGTGGTGGTGGATGTGATGGCTCGGTGGAGGCGAGGGGAGCTGGTCAGTGGCGGTGTGTGAGGGGATGGTGTTTATTGGTTGAGTTTCGAGAAAGACGGTGGGTCAGTTTCCAGGGAGGGATGGCGCAGAGGAGGCTGCGGAGAGAAAGCAACCAGCTAGGTCTACCAGAAGATACAGGGAGTGGCCCCGAGCAATTGGTCACCCTTCATTTCATTTATTATTGGTTCATTCGTTCATACACGCCACAGCATACCATTGTAGCTGTGGTGCATCATCTTGCGTTCGTTTATTATTTTGTTTGCTAATTCGTTTATTGATTTTGTTCATACTTAAATCAGTTATGTATCTTTATCGCTTCACATTACATGAAAAAGCACTGGTGGTCAGCACTGGCAAGACAAATGGTCCACATTTATCAGATCAACCATGCCCAACATGTACTGGAGCAGCTACAACAGGAGTTTAAACTCAAGATCCAGAGCCGCAGTTAAGTGTAGCTCAAGTGCTGAGAAACTTCTGCCACCAGAATGCCGAAGCCTTGGGGTATCTAGGAAGGCCAGGGTTAGCAAAGTCAACAAAGACAATGCCGAATCTCTCCAAGAAGCCACGAGCCCATTCCCAGTTGTCCAGAAGGGACCACGCATAGTACCCCTGGACGTTTGCTCCATCCCTGCAGTAATGACATGGGAAATATCTCAGCATGAGGCTCAATGAAGGAACATGAACCCTTGGGGAGTACAACAGATCCCCTACTTCTTGGCCTTCAGCACATTGCTGAGGTAGTCCCTGTAGAAGTTAAGGCGCTGATCGTCACAAAGTGCAGCCTCCAGCGAAATGTTAGGGTCGTTGACATCACTCGACCCTGAAGCACAAGCACATCATTAGTGAAGGATGTGAAACATACTCATACAACCCAAAAGACTCATCCAACCAACCCATACCGTTTTCAGTAATCATGATCGGAAAGCTATTGTAACGACCCGTGATCCACATCAACATTCCATACATGCCTTCTGGGACCACCTTCAGCCAAGATGAGCCAGTCTGAAAGCACGGAGATGTCAAAAAGAGTGCATCTTAAAGACAACTGCTGATTGTAGCATGGGCGGATGGAAGAGATGCGGTCAACTTACTGATGCACCAATGACTTGACCGGTCAGTGGGTTGGTGCTTGAGGTTCCCACTTGGCTGTCACTCCACGCGATTCCAGGGGCGCTGGCAGACCCTTGCCAGACATACAGAGCAGTGTAGAAGTTGAGCCCAAAGAAGTCTGCAGAACCAATAAGCTGCTGCCTTTCCGCAGCTGTGAATTGAGGCAGACGGTCACCAACAAGGGTTCGCATGGACTCTGGGTAGTCTCCAAAGTAAACTGGGTCAGCGAACCTGAAGTCAAGAAGTTTGTTAGCACAACCCTGCACGGACTGAGATGCTTGGATGGATGTAAGAAAGCATACCATCCGTATGAGAATTCAAGAGCTCGGTTAGCTGCTGCAACGTTCTCATCGGACTGATTGATGGGGAAGTAAAACTGGGAATCTAGAGTGATGCCAATGCGACCTTCCTGCAGCTTCTGCAGTCACAACAGCAATGTGGAGTTACTTTCCAAGTCCATGTGTGTGCAAAAGTGAGCAGACTGAAATAGCAGTGATGGTGACTGACCTGATAATTGGCTCTGTAAGAAGCAACAGCAGAAGCGTGTGACCTCAATATGTTATGAGCAACAAGGTACGATTCCACTGCAGAATCCCCTTCTTCACAAATTTCTCTGTCTGAACATCTGCCTGGAGCCATTCCTCCTGTCCCGTATCCCTATACAGGCAAAGAGTCAGTTTGGACGTCGTAATGTCGAAGTCAGAAAAATACTTATAAAGCTATCGTACCTGAATCGAGGTTTCCATTGGTTCGTTGAAAGTGATCCATGTCTTGACATCAGCACCGAACGCCTCAAAGCAAACTTCCGCGTAGTTGGTGAACGCATCCCTGCTCATAGCTCACATGAAGCAAACCGCAATGAAATTGGTTGCACCACATCTAAAAAAAAAATCTTACACTATTGAAGCATTCAGCCAGCCACCCCAGTTCACATGAAGATAGTCTGGCAAGTCCCAGTGATACAGCGTCACTGCTGGCTCAATGCCTGCCAATGAATAATTCGCCATCGGTTAGATGCAATAGGGGGAGGGTTCTTATACCACACACATATTTAGAAAAGTACCCAACAATTACCTGTTGCCTTCAGTGCTGCAATAACAGTTTTGTAGTGGTCGATACCTGCCGAGTTGACCTCACCAATGCCGTCTGCAAAATGGATCAGATCAAACTTCTGTTGCAATAATTGGAACGGCAAGCATACATCAGAGAACATCCACCAGACCTGGCAAAATCCTCGACCACGAGAGTGATAGTCGGTAGGACGTGACGCCCAGTTCTTTCATAATCTTGATGTCCTCCTGAATAATAACGTCAGAACAGCGAGCTCGATAAGCATTACGACAATCGACTTGAAAAGAGAGGAAGCTCACCAAGAACTTGTGGTACTGGTCCGTGGTGATGTTGGGTAGTGAAGAATCCGCAATTTTTCCTGTAAAGAGTGATGATGATGTTAAACTGAATAGTTGCGCACTGCCGTTGAGTGCAAGACGATAGGTAGTCATCGTACCAGGAACTGCGGCAAACACGTCCCAAATGCTGGGCCCTCGACCTCCCTCCGATGGTGCTCCTTCAACCTGAACGTCGAGGATGTTAAGTTCTGAGCTTGACCTTGCTGAAAGAGCAGGCGCCGCAAGCACAACAAACCTGAGTCGCACTTGTCGCCACCCCAAACACAAAGCCGTCTCCAAAGTCGCCTCTTTGCAGCACATTGTCATCATAAAAAGCCGTGCAGTTCTGAATTGCGAAACAGAATTAGGAGGAGAACATAACGATAAGGAGCAAAATAAATCAGTAGCACCGGAGAAAAACACTTACGGAAAGGAGCGTGGAGCTGATAACCCAGTTACTATCAGTTTGGCCAGACACCATAGTTGTACTTATCAGGAGGAACATGAACGCTCCAGCGACTGGGAAAGTCATCATTGCCATAGTGAAGGTAATCAAAGCCACAGTCGTCCAGAGACAGGTCGAGCCTGAAAGCAGTTGTGCTGCGTGCTCGTATATGTACGAAGCCAAGGAGGAATGAGTGACCTGTTTCGGAAGGGTAATATGGAATAATCAAGGCCGAGCCCGAGCAAACCAATCCCCATGCCCAGAAAAGGACGCAGTTCTCAGGGAATTGCGGCTTCACTTTTTGCATAAAGTTTGCATGAAAAATGGTACAAGCCTCGATGGCGCAGTCGGTAGCGCGTAGGTCTCATAGCATTCCGACTCCCAGCAAGCTGGGCGGAGCCATCCTAAGGTCGTGAGTTCGATCCTCACTCGGGGCAACATTTTGTTGCCACATTTTGTTCTGGACCCGTTGGGATTCGTTTTTGCTTGGACAGCGGAGCGAACCGCCAATCGTTGACAGGAATCGCGCGCGCGATTCGGGAATTCAGACAGAGACGTGACAGAGGTTGTAACTATCCGTGCGAAAGCGTGGCGACGAAGTGGCGAACTTCGACTCATTTGATCGACATCACCGAGGTACAACCGCGATTTCTGACAAAACGAAGCCCCAAGGCTGGGCTTGGCTCCAGGAACACCCTCAACCATCCTCTTCAAGCCACTGACGGATTCTTCGAAGAGTAAATACCAAGTCAGGGATAGCTGTGCAACACCATGGGCATGCCGTTGTGTACTGATGATGGTGAAGGATAACCTTGCCGAGCTTAGCAGAACACGGATCCGCCATTTGACTAGTATAGAGTTCTCGTCAGCTTCTGTATGTGTCTCTCTTTTTTCCGCGTTGGAGGCGAAGCATGCAACCGGCAGGAAACAAAGGCCGTCGAGGCCAGAAGACATGTAAATTTTCGTTCACCTCAACTGACTTCGCAGAATTCCAGTAGAAACAGCATGTGCCTTCCTCGTTGTCTCGCGTTTTCTTCGTTGTCTGGTAGAATGCAGTCTCATTGGTCTCGGGCTCTAAAGGCATAGCTCATAGGTACCACGGCGCTCGCAGAATTATACTCTGTGCGTTTCTTCCCTCCCGGCTTCCAGGGTCCTTCGCGGCTCATTCGTCGAGCGTGAATTGCATCAGCATCGGCAGGAAGTCAGCGGAGAGGTTTATAACGGGCGGCGACGATAAGAAGCTGCACCTATGGTCCACCCGCCAGCGGGCGCCGTTGCTGGTAGGATTTAGGATTCACCCCAAAGCGTCGTAAGAGGTTAGAGGAAAGTTTGCACCACATCCGCTTGGTGTTACGACGTCGCCAGAACATGGCTTGAAGGCCCTCCCCGCTGCTGTCATTCCCCCACCGGATCCCCTTCCCTCCATCCCTTCTCGTCATGTTCCACCACTGTAGCACGGACGCCTTCTGGTGCATGCGGCCTGGTGCGAGAAGTGAAGGGAGGAAGAACCAACTCTTTCCGTTGGCTCGCGTCTGTCACTCCATTCTCCTCCCTATCCCATTCCTTGCGCGGCAACACGAGCGCCATCCAGGCCGTGTAGCTAAGCGCGATCGAGGAGAGAATGGAAAGATTCTCACCTCATTTGGGTCCCCTGTCCCCATCCGCATCTCCCCCGTCCCCGCAACGCTTCCCCTTCACTCCAACTACCTCCCGTTCCCGCATATCTCTCTCCCTCCCCGCGCTGCCAGTCGCTGCGCGGCAACACGAGCGCCATACAGAGCGTGCTGCTCGATGCGAGCGAGGAGCTCGCCGTCGCGGGCGGCGCTGCGGGCGCCGTGAAGCTCTGGGACCTGGTGGAAGGACGAGGTGAGGGAGGGAGGTTATGGGGTCTGGCGGAAGGACGAGGTGAGGGCGGGAGGTTATGGGGTCTGGCGGAGGGGCGAGGTGACGGGGGGGGACGATGGAGGAGCTAGATGAGGGGAGGCTGTGAAGGCTGGTGGTAGGGAGAGGTGAAGAGGGGTGGGCTGTTGGTGGGGAGAGGTGGGAGGGGAGGAAGCTGTGTGGTGGGATGTTGAGGTTGACGCAGGACAGGAAGTCGGATAGCCATAGTGGGTAAACAAATGGCTAGGAACGGTGGTCGAAGTCGGGATGGGCGAAACGTGGGGTCAAAGGAGCAATGGCAACGGCAGTCTTGCCTAATCATGCCATGTACCTTCCTTTCCCGTCAACCCTTCCCCTCATCCCCTCCCGCGCCTCCTCTTTGCTTCCCTCTTTCCCCTCATCGCCGCCTCGTTCCCCCCATCCCCTCCCCGCGCCCCTCCAGCCATCCGAACGATGACGGGCCACAAAGCTGCGCCGATCGCGCTCGACCTGTACTCCGCGGGCGGGCTGTGCGCGTCTCTCAGCCCCGCGGATGGCACCGCGCGCGTGTGGGACCCGCGCCAGAAGGAAGCCGCGCACGTCTTCCGCGGAATGGGCGCGGGGGACGCGGGGGAGGGCGGCGGAGCTGTGGGAGGGGGCGGGGCGGAGGGGAGAGGAGCGGGAGCAGGGGGCGGAGCGGAAAGCGCCGGGGGGAAGGGCGGGAAAACTGTAGGGTGCGTGCGGTTCAGTCCGGATGGGCGGTGGGTGGTGGCAGGCGGGCAAGATGGGCGCATCAAGGTGAGCAGCGCGCGGGGAAGAAAGAGGGGGGTGGGAGTGAGCTTATCCCAACCCCTCGCAATTCCCCACCACGTGCTTCCCACGCTTTATTTCCTCATCACTCACTCTCCCCATGCCCCCCTCCTTCCCTCCGCGCGCATGTCCCTCCGCGCACAGCTGTTCGACCTGGCGCAGGGGCGGCTGTTCGCGCAACGACATGCCTCCACCGTTTCCGCCTTCCACTCTCACGTCTGCTCCCCATCCCCCTCCTTCCCCCCGCGCGCAGCTGTTCGACCTGGCGCAGGGGCGGCTGATCGCGCAGCTGGCGGGGCACGCGGGCGCGGTACCGGCGCTCGACTTCCACCCGCAGGAGCTGCTGCTCGCGTCCGCCGCGCGCGACCGCACCGTGCGCTGGTGGGACCTCGAGTCGTTCGACTGCGTTGACTGCGCGCCGCCGGGCGCGGGCGGAACCTCGGCGCTCGCGTTTTCTCCCCAAGGGGATGCGCTCTTCGCGCCATGCACGGACCACCTCAAGGTGTGTGCGCCGTGCCACAACGCTGGATCCGTGAAATTAACCGCTTTGAACCCCGATTTACCCTTTGGGATGATTTCTTCCTCTGCCTGCCGAATTGACAATCCTCTTGTCTCCCGCCCGGATCCCCCTCCCGCCGGCTGTTGCCCGGATTCAGGTGTGGGGCTGGGAGCCAATCAGGTGCTTCGACTCTGTCCACGTGGGATGGCCGAAGGTCGCTGACGTCAGCGTGAATGACACCTCCCTGGTGGCTGTCTCTGCATCCGTCACCGTTGTCACTCTCTGGACCGTTGATCTTGAGGTACTATCTTGCCCTCTCAACCGTTGATCTTGAGGTGCCATTCGCCCTGCCCTGCTGTCCCTGTGCTTCCCACCCACGCTCCCTACATCTATAGCACCAACCTCTCTTCCTCCCGGTTCCTTTTCCCTCTCCCCTCATTATCCACCTCCTTCTCCCTTTCTAATTCTTTTCTCCTTTCCTCCCCTCGTCTACCTAATCTTCCCCTCTCCCATCCCTTCTCCCCTTTCTCCCTCTCACCCCACTCCCCCACTCCCCCACTTCCCCCTGACCTCGCGCTTACCTCTTCATCCTCTCCCCCTTTTCCCCCTCTTTCCCCTCCGTCTTCCCACCCCAGCGAGTGCTGCCATTCAGCAAGGACCCAGACCAGTGCTTCGATGACCCCATCCCCCTCCCCTCGCTCATCTCTTCCCCTCCTCCCTCCCCCTTCCCCCCCCGTCCCCCTTCTCTCCCCTCTTTTCCCCGCCACCCCCCCCCCACCCAGCGAGTGCTGCCATTCAGCAAGGACCCCGACCAGTGCTTCGACGAGCCCCTCCCCCTCCCCTCTCCCACCTCTTCCTCCCCTCCCTCCCTGCGTCCTCACTTCCCCCTTTCCCCCCTCTCCATCCCCCTTTCTCCCCCACTCCCCAGCGAGTGCTGCCATTCAGCAAGGACCCAGAGCAGTGCTTCGACGAGCCCCTCCCCTCCCTTCGCTCATCTCTTCCTTTCCTCCCTCCCCCCGTTCCCCCTTTCCCCCTTCTCTCCCCTCTTCCCCCCTCCCTCCACCCCCCAGCGAGTGCTGCCATTCAGCAAGGACCCAGAGCAGTGCTTCGACGAGCCTCTCCCCCTCCCCTCGCTCATCCCTTCATCCCCTCTCCCCGTTCCCGCTCTTCCACCCCCCTCCCCCCTTCCCCCCCTCCCGTTTCCCACCCAGCGAGTGCTGCCATTCAGCAAGGACCCCGACCAGTGCTTCGACGACCCCCTTCCCCTCCCTTCGCCCCCCCCAAACCTCCACTCCCGCAGCCCTTTCTCCGCCCTCTCCCCCTTCGCCCCTTCCCCCTCCTCCTCCTCCCTCTTCCGCCCCTCCCCCGCCTCCCCCTCCGCCTCCCCCTCCCCCACCCTGTCGCGCCGTAACAGCCTGAGGGGGAGCCTGGGGGGCGCGGGGGCAGGGGGATTCGGGGGGTGGGGGAAGGTGGCACCTGAGGGAGGTGACAGTGACGTGGAGGGGCCGGGCTGCCAGCATCACAGTGAGTGTGCCATTTACGTGAATTCATACATCTACGCCATTCACGTGCGTAGGTTCCTGTATGAATGTGAATGCTTCTCTCTGTCTGTCAGTCAAAGCCATGCCACAACAGATATGTGTGTATTCCGTCCGCCCAGCCCTTATTTACATCTTCTCCATCCATCTGTCCCTTTTTCACCCACCTCCCTCCACTCCCAATTCACCACCGCCCACCTTCCTCTCATTTGCCCCCCTCCCTTCCTCCCTCCCTCCCTCCCTTCTCCCCTGCTCCCCGACCCAATCTCCCGGCCAATCAGAGCCCGCCGCGCTCCCATCCTCGCGTGCGCGCTCCTCCTCTCTCCCGCGCTCCCTTGCCCGCCACCTCGCCCCCACCATTGCCTCGCTGCAGCGCACCCGCCGCGACCCCTCCCCCTCGCCCTCGCCCTCTGCTTGCTGTGAGGACGAGAAGGAGAGGGAGAGAGCGAGGGCGAGGGAGAGAGAAAGGGAGTGGGATGACAGGGTATCAGTGGGTACGCCGAGGAGGTATGTGAGGTCGCCGCAGAGGTCGAGTGGAGGGGTTGGGAGGGGTGAGAGGGGCGACAGGGGGAGTGCTGCGCGGTGCAGCAGTGAAGGCGGCTGGTGGGGGAGGGAGGGCAAGGGGTGCCGAGGGGGTGTTGTGGCAGCGGTGGTGTTGGGGCGGGATGATTATAACGGAGGTGGTGATAAGGGGGGGAAGTATGGAGGGTATACCACGGGAGGAGACACCAGCACTGACGACGAGTGCACGAGTCATAGACTGCCACGTGGCGGCTCAGCATCGCATGGTGCAACGGCCACCACCACCGCAGCTACTCCTGGTCATTCTGCTACTGCTGCTAATGGGTATACAGCCTCTCGACGCAGCTCACATGTGCACTCCCAGGCGTCTCCTCGCCGCTCCCCTCCCTCCTCCTCTCCTTCCAACCCCAGCGGTCACTCCCCTGCTCGCACTGCTCCTTCCTCTTCTGCACATCCAGGTGCACACGTACCATCCGCTGCTGCACATCCAGCGTCGCCCACTGCTGGTCGGGCCACCGCTGCTGCTGCTGTAGCTCCAGCCTCCACTGCTGGCGCTCCAGCCCCTGCTGCTGCCACCACACCAGCCACACCAACGCCACCAGCAGCCACAGCAACAGCGACAGGGAGGGGCGTGCAGGGCGCGTTGTCAGGGCGGTCACCTATAGTGGACCTCGTCTCCCGCGTGTCTGACTGGATTGGTTCGCTCTCCTCGCAGGAGCAGGGAGCATGCGAGAAGAAGGCAGGGGGGAGCGGAGGAGGGGAGAGGAGGAAGGCGGAGAGGGGAGGGAGTGAGGGAAAGGTGGATTCCAGGGGTGGTGGTAAGGGTGCCGATGCTGCTGCTGCTGCAGCTGCTGCTGGTGCTGCTGGTAGTGGTGGTGGTGGCGGTGGCAGTGGTGGGGGCAGCTCTTTTGGCAGGCTTGGGCAAACTGCTCGCCGAATGACCTTTGGCTCAGGTGGTCACGGGGCAGGCAGTAATGGGGATGGAAGTACTGATGCTGCTGCTACTGCTGCTGCTGCTGCTGCCAAGAGCAGTGGTACCAGGCCTGGTAACGGTACTGCTCTGGCTGCTGCTGCTGCTGCTGGGACAGCCATCAACAGCACGACAACCAACACCACCACCACCAGCAATGCGAATGCCAGTGGTAACGCAAGAGACCACACCCACGCCAGCAGCAATGAGCATCCATCCATTCCCCCCTACGCCGCCAGTCTCAGAGCCCCCTATGCAGCTGACACACAGCCTCAAGACTCCCCTCCCCCACCCTGCTCCTCTGCCTCGGCCTCCCTTTCCGTGGGCAGCTGGGGCTTCCGAACCTCCAGCAAGGCTCGGGGAAAGAGGCAGGAGTCTCCTGTGCCGGCGCTTTCTGAGGGCAGGTCCGGCAGCGCGCCGAGCCAGAGCTCGCTGGTTCGGAAGCTGGGTTTGTTTGTGCCGAGGCTGCGGCCGCCGTATGCTGTGGATGATGAGGAGGTGGAGGAGGGGGAGGAGGTGGAGCAGGGGGTAGGGGGGGGAATGGCGGGGATGGTTAGGAGCCAGAGCGAGAAGGTTCCAGGAAGCGGGCCTCTTGTTGCGATCCGCCACGGACAACTGGCTGACGTGGAGGTTTCAGCCAATCAAAAGGTAGCAGGGAGTGGAGGAGTGGGGAGAAGGTTGAGTGGGGAGGAGGAAAGGAGGCGTGTGCAGGAGAAGGGGAAGGAGGGCGCGGTTGGAGCAGCAGAGAGGGGGAATGGCGCAGAGTGGAGGGCAGGAAAAGGGATAGGGACGGGGATAAGTGCCGAGGCTGGGGTCAGCAGGGAAGGTAATGATGCGGGCTTTGGTGCAGCAGCAGCAGCGGCCTCTGGTGGTGGTAGTAGTGGTGGTGGCGTGGTGGGGAGAGTGGGGGCAGGGAGCATGGGGGTTATGGAGGAGAGGGCAGGTCGTGGGGTGGCACAGAGGCGGGTGGGGGGAGGGGCAGGGGACCTCATTCCTTTCCTGCGCGAGGCTGAGAGGCAGGAGCAGCTGCAGCACATGCAGCAGGCGCAACAGCAGCACCACCACCCCCAGCAGCAGCAACAGCAGCAACAACATCACCAAACCCAGCAGCAGCAGCAGCAGCAGCAGGGAGGGGAGCAGGCGAGCGAGGAAGAAGCAGCGGTGGTGGCGGCAGTGAGGGATGGGCACGAGGCGGTGGTGCGACAGCTGGCGGCGCGCAGGCAGGCAGTGCGGCAGGTGGGGGAGATGTGGCGCGATGGGCTCGTGGCTGATGCCCTCGCGTTCCTGGCGGTCACTGCGGACGAAGGGGTGAGTGGGGGGAGGGGAGAGTGGAAGGAGGGGGGTGTGGGTGGGAATGAGAGAGTAATTGAGTGGTTGTGAGGAGTGAGGGGCTCGTGGCGGATGCCCTCGCGTTCCTTTCGGTCACTGCGGACGAACGGGTGAGCGGAGAGTGGGGGGAGAGGATGGGCTGGGAGGAGAGGGGGAGTGGGGAGGAGGGGGTGAGTGGGGGGGAGGTGCGATTCTGGTGAATGTGGTTTCAGCCATGGGTTTGCTAGTCATTGCCCAACACTGTGACACCTTCCCCCCTTCCCTCCACACCACATACCACTCCCCCTTCAACCCCACAGGTTCTGGTGGATGTGGTTTCAGCTATGAGTGCACAGGGCAGCAGCAGCATGGCAGGAGGGGGAGGGGTCGGTGGGGCCAGCAGCATGGGCGGCGTGAGTGGGACAAGCGCTGCAGTTCAGTGCCTGGGAGTGGACGGCTGTGCCGCCCTGGTGCCCATTCTGGGCGGCTTGCTGGCCAGTGCGCACTCCAGCCACGTGCACGCCGCCCTCTTGCTGCTGTGCGCACTGCTGCGCTGCTACAGTGACGGCATCTCCGCCGCCCGCTCTGCCGTCCACTCGCCCGGCGTGGACCTGCACATGGAAATGTGGTGAGGAGGGGTGACGGGAGGTGAATGGGGGTAAGGCGAGGTGAGGGGAAGTGGGGTGGGGTGAGAGAAGGTGAGTGCGGGCGAGAGGAGGTGAAGGGGGGTGAGGGAGGGGGAGTGAGAATGAGAAAAGGTGCTTAGGAGTGGGGTGAGAAGGGGAGGTGATGGTGGGAGTGACTGCCAGGAGACGCTGCATGGGGCAGGAATGCTCTCGACTAAACTCACTTAGACTCTGCCATCGTCTTCCCGTTCCTCTCGTCCCCAATCCTTTCTCAATCCGTTAGTCCTCCCTCCGTTACCCCCCATTACCCCACCCCCCTCGCTCTGTCTTCAGGCTGCAGCGCTGTGCTGAGTGTGCTGAGGCCTTCCAGGCCCTCGCCCCTCGCCTGCAAATGCTGCTGCACACGTGAGTGAGCCTCCATGTCATGTCCCCATCGCCCGATCCCCCCTACGCTCCCATGGTGTTCTTTCCCCCAATGCACCCAATGCACATTTCGTGCACAACCCATCACAACCCGTGCACACCCCTGCCATCATTGATATCCCCTCTTCAATTTCACATCCATACTTGTCTCCTGTGCCAGCCCAAAGCTCACGCCTGTTGCTCCAGGTCTCGTGCCTGTTGACCCTGCCATGCCAGCTGTTATCATTCTCAGGCCTCGTGATTGTGCGGCCTCCTATGCCCATTCTCTCTCCCCCGCCCATCGCCGCTCCCATGTGTGCAGTGGGCCCAAGGAGAATTGCTCGCTTGCCACCCAAGTGCACATGCTCACATCGCGCCTCGCCTCGTGACTCACATCCTCACAGTTCAACTCTCCTCCCGACTCGCACATGCTGCTCACGCTCACAGCCCGCCTCGCCTTCTTAACTCTCGCCATGAACCACCCACCTCCTTCTGTATCAACAGCCTCTCCCTCACTACTTGCCGCCCTTCCAACTCACACCTCACCCCTCGACACTCGCACGGCTCCTTGCCTGCCTTTTTTCCCTGCCAGCCACTGCTGCAGCCTCTCACACCTCTTCCTTTGTGCAACGCGCCTAGCAAACTCTAACAGCTGCCGCCCACACACCTCCTCAAACGGCGCCACATTGATTGATGCATGACAACAACGCTCACCAGGGCACCTTGCCTAATCACATGCTCACATCACACCCCTTAATCCGGCACACCTAATGCACAAACCGTTGCCACCAGTGCACCCTTGTATGCTGCGTGGGCGCAAGACAGTGGGGCTTATTGCACAGAAGCCTGCCTGAGGATGCGTGCTTTGGATTGGTAGTACGGGTAGCTACCAGATTTTGTCAACCTTGCAGTAGAGATGGATACATACAGGGAGAGTGTAGGGTGGTTGTTAGGTTGATGTGCTGTGTGCACTGGGCTCTTATGCGGGCTTTTGGCTTTATTTGGTTTGATAACTGGATGCCCCGTGGGAGAACTCACATCCATACATGGCTCAGAAAGTCAAAGTGAAGCTCCTGAAGCATACTTGCATGCATTTTGGGGCACACCTGAAGCACCTGCTTGCAACCTTGTGCAGCATTCTAACAAGGCTGCTATTCATATCTGAACATGGCAATTGCTGTGAAATGTGCATCAAACCTTATCAACCGGAACATGCAGCTGATCTATGCCTTGAAGAGAGAAGACTTATATTGAAGATATGATCCAGGCCCTCAGATATCAGCATAAAACACGCTGATTAGGCTGATTTTGTAGCTGTGATTTTCGTTTTCCCTGAAATTTCAGTATATTCTTTATGTTTGCACTGATTTTTCAGTTTGAAGTGTAGGACTACCCTGACGAATTTGTGTGTAGGTGTACCAGTAACACTGAAGCTTCAGTACAGTGTACCGAGTCACACTGATTCGGGCATAGCAAAATGTACTGGATACGGGGATGGGGTGCGCGTACATGGGGCTTTAAGCCCAGAACCATTGCTACAAACAACTGGATTTGTCACATACTGGCTTCGACCCCGTGACCTTTCCGGTTACAGGCCGAAACCTTGAAGATACGTTACTAGCCCTGTACAGTGAGGGCCTTTTCTAATTTATATATCAGCAAGCAATGAAATTTTATGCTGACAGAATCAGCATAAACTTGACCCCCAACGCTGATTTGGTCACTAATTTGGGCAGGGCACGCTGATCCATCAGCATACCCTGAAACCAATCTGAGGGCCTGATATGATCCCTTCTAAGTCATTCTTGCTCGGCAGTCACCACCGCGAAGCCTTCCACTTTTCCCGTTTCTGCACTCAACTAGCAGATCGCTCGCGGTGCCAATCGCGATCTGCCGTCACAGTTCCGCTCATAGTTCAGGCCGTCCTTCAGAAGACACGAAGATCCGATCTGAGCGCTGAAGCGAATGAACACGCGACGCAACGAACAAGAATGTATTGACTCCCTCAGCTTATCTCGGTAACGTGTAGCCGTTTTGAAATGCTGAGGGCGAGTGCATGCGCACGCACGATAGCCCCTCGAGATGGCTATCAGGCTGATTCTAGAAAAAAATGATCACGAAAAAAAAAAAGTTTCACTTTAAATAGCGCGAACATATGAGAAGCTACGATGCAGGGCCTGTCTACGTCAGGGATATCGTTTCTTATTAATCATCAACTCAAGCCTGGCGCCTCTATGAACGATACGCTTCGAATGGCCGCTACCCACACGCTTATTGACGTCGTTAGGTGTCTTCAGACTGCCACGCTTCGATATGACGTGGTCGCACTATGGCTTGAAGGCCTTCGACGCATCCTCCGCGGTGGTCCTAGCGGTCGCGAGCTGCGCGAGCACCTTCTTATCGTTAACGGGGTCGAGCATAACGGAGACGCCGTCGATGGTGGAAATGGCGTTGGTGATCTGCCCCTGCACGAGCGTGCGCTGCCCCTCGTCGATGAGAATGCCGGCGTTCGTGAGCGCCTGCACCGTCGCCGTCAGGCTCGCGTAGTACTTGTGCTTCGTGCCCAGCGCGTCCGCCGCCTTCTGCACGCCGCCGGCCGCCGTCTTCAGCAGCCCCTGGACCTTCTGGTCCGCCTTGCTCACCACCACGGGCGCGGACCCGCCGCCACCTGCACCCGCACCCGCGTTGTTCTTGCCCTTCTTTCCGCCCTTTCCGCTCGTAGCAGGCGCGGGCACGGGATCAGGGGTGGGCGTCGCAGGGGCGGTCCAGTTCTTGTGTCCGCCCTTCTTCTTGGGGGTGGTTGGCGGGGGAGAGGCGGGAGTGGCGGGAGTGTCGGTGCTTCCGCCCTTCTTCCCCTTCTTCCCGGTGGTGGTCGGCGGCGGGGGAGAGGCGGGAACGTCAGAGCCCTTCTTTGACTTCTTCCCCGACTTGGTAGGAGGCGGGGGGGAATCGGACGGCGCGCTTGATCCCTTCTTCGACTTCTTCGAGGGAGACGGGGAGGGGGACGAGCCTGACGAAGTCGAGTCGCTCTTCTTCGACTTCTTGCTGCTGGAGCCGGAGCTGCTAGTAGAGCCGGAGCTGCTTGTATCGGAGCTGCTTGAATCGGAGCTCTTGTGCTTGAGCACGCGGCCACGGCTGATGTCCGAGGGGAATTCGGTTCCGGTCAGAGCGTCGCCACCTGTAAAACAACAGATCGGACGACTGGATTAGCGGAATGTGGATGACCGGCGATTAGGTTGCAAAATGCAGCCGTTGCATGTCGCTGACAAAACCCCGAAAGACGCACCAGAGGAAGGTAAGGGAGTGCGTGAGAGAGTGCATAAGAGAGAGAGTGCAGGCAAGGACTGAAGAAGAGAATGCGTACCTTCAGAGGCAATCACAGTGCTCCCCGCATGCGACGGGGCTACCACAAACAGCACTCCGATCAGCGCACACACTGCCACAATGGGCAGGACGAACTTGGCGGTCGTCATTCTCCCGCAGGGCAGATCCAAATCTCGAAGCGTAACTGCGTCAATAGAGTGAATTCGCTGGTCGGGCGAGGAGAGATGAGAGTGTGGAATGCTGAACGATCAGCAAAGACGGAAGCCTAAACTTATACTCTCCACGTTACGGCAGAAGTGTATGATGATGGAGGAAAGTGGGAGACAGAAAGACCACCCGTCGAAGCAGCCGGGGCGGCCAAGACGGATTTTCGAAAAGCGGCGCGTTGGGCTGTCTTTGGGAGCACACTAAGTCGAGCCGCGGTCAGAGATCGAAATGTGTCTCCCATCAAGAACGTGGAGTGCAACACGGGGGATTCGGGTTTTGAAATGAGAGTGGCTGAGCGGACAGCCACGATGTTCACGAAGAGTGAAAAGGAAAGGTTGAGTTCGCTCATTGGCTGGTGGCTTTCCCTTTTTTGGCGCAAAAAGGCAAATTCACTCCCTGAACAGTTACATTCAAACGGCATAACCTTGACCGCACGGCGGTTTCCGCGATACGTTGGCGCTCGTCTTGCTCTGGCTGGGGCACATTCCCAAGCGGATCGATACGTACGCACAGTGGCAGGTCCAACGCATGTGTTTGCACTTCAATCTTGGTGTGAGGACGGTTCCACAAGGTGTGACGCGGTCGGTACTCTTCACTGCGGACTAAACGTAAGTGGGAAATCCCCTTAGGAACATATAATTTCTTATACACATCAAAGGTCCATCTCTATTTCCATGCACTTCTAATGCTTATAATGCATATAATGTATTCCAACACATCTTGTCGGCACTTAACTTACTGGGACATTTGCTACTTATATAATGCTGAAAACAAAGCTCCCGTGTGCATCTTGATAACGACTGAATGATTTAGAAACATAAAGAATACATATATTACAATATATACAGAACAAAAGGAGCTGAATGTGCTTATTCGTTGTTCCACGCCATCTGTTTGACAAGCCAGAACGCCAACAACGGTATAGCATACAATGCACAATGCGCCAAAAAGACACTGGCACCGCCCAATGCGCGAGATCACCCTTCGCATTTACCCTTTGGTGTCCATCGTGGCCGACCTCTCAGCCAATCTCACTTCACGGCCTCGAGTTTCGCTCCACGTACTCGATACGAGGCGCATTTCCAACTCTGGGTGCGCCTCGGTTCATAACCAAGCGCGCCGCATTTCAAAAATTCGTTTTGGCCGCCCCGGCCGCTCCCTCCAACACCCCCCCCTCCCTCCCTCCCACGATTCCTTCCATTGCTGCGTTGATGCTGCACTTCACTTCGCACATGCCGAAACGTCGAGGCTATACGTTCGGGCCTTTTCCTTCGCTTATCATCAGTCGCTCACCGTTCTATCACTCCTAGCCTATCCACCACTGCTCGCCCCGACCAGCAAATTCACTCGAGTGACTGAGCTCGGTTCAAGATTTGTTCTGATTTGCGGGAGAATGGCGTCCGCCAAGCTCGTCGCGCCCATCGTGGTAGTGTGCGCGCTGATGGGCGTGCTGCTCGTGGCAGCCCCATGGCATGTGGAGAGTGCTGCGATTGCCGCTGACGGTACGCGCTCTCTTCATACATTTTCTTACCTTCCTCCTCGTGCCTGGCGGGAATCTGTCATTGATAAATAACTGCTGCACTTCACAACCATTTCGCCAGTCATCCACATTTTGCTAATCGATTCGTTCTATCCGTTGCTTCTTTTCAGGTGGCGACGCTTCCGCAAACGAATTCTCGACCCACTTCAGCCATGGCCGCGTGCTTAAGCACAAGAACTCCGATTCAGGCAGCTCCGATACAAGCAGCTCCGGCTCTACTAGCAGCTCCGGCTCCAGCAGCAAGAAGTCGAAGAAGAGCGACTCGACTTCGTCAGGCTCGTCCCCCTCCCCGTCTCCCTCGAAGAAGTCGAAGAAGGGATCAAGCGCGCCGTCCGATTCCCCCCCGCCTCCTACCAAGTCGGGGAAGAAGTCAAAGAAGGGCTCTGACGTTCCCGCCTCTCCCCCGCCGCCGACCACCACCGGGAAGAAGGGGAAGAAGGGCGGAAGCACCGACACTCCCGCCACTCCCGCCTCTCCCCCGCCAACCACCCCCAAGAAGAAGGGCGGACACAAGAACTGGACCGCCCCTGCGACGCCCACCCCTGATCCCGTGCCCGCGCCTTCTACGAGCGGAAAGGGCGGAAAGAAGGGCAAGAACAACGCGGGTGCGGGTGCAGGTGGCGGCGGGTCCGCGCCCGTGGTGGTGAGCAAGGCGGACCAGAAGGTCCAGGGGCTGCTGAAGACGGCGGCCGGCGGCGTGCAGAAGGCGGCGGACGCGCTGGGCACGAAGCACAAGTACTACGCGAGCCTGACGGCGACGGTGCAGGCGCTCACGAACGCCGGCATTCTCATCGACGAGGGGCAGCGCACGCTCGTGCAGGGGCAGATCACCAACGCCATTTCCACCATCGACGGCGTCTCCGTTATGCTCGACCCCGTTAACGATAAGAAGGTGCTCGCGCAGCTCGCGACCGCTAAGACCACCGCGGAGGATGCGTCGAAGGCCTTCAAGCCATAGTGTGCCCACGGAAGCGTGGCAGTCTCAACACACCTAGCGACGTCAACAGGCGTAGCAGCCGTTTGAAGCTCAGTGGTACTAGTGGCGCCAGTCTTTTGAATCGATAGATAAAGAGCGACTTTCTGACGTAGGCACGATGTAATCATTGTTCTCCGTGTATTCACGCTATGTTTAAACCTTCCCTTGTGAAGAATCAGCCTTCCAGAGCACTTGCCATTCACATTTCTTTCAAGCACACACGCGCTCTCACACCGCATTTCTTTCAGATGTGGTCTCGGAGACCGCATTTCGCGAGGTCCCGTCAGCTTATGATGTGTGCGCTCTAGAGCGGTTCGGAACCGCTATTCACCACCACCATGACCCCTTGGTATTTGTTATGACGCCTAAACAAAGAAAGCAGACTTGGAAGGAGGAGGTCACGGTGGCTTCTTGATGGCCATGATAATTGCAGCAAAAAATGTTTCTAGTGTTCACCATGGACTTTGGACTGGACAGGTTTGCTAGGTACCGTACCAGATGCTTCAGCCTGTTATCAGGACACTCCCAGAACAAAATAGGGTGCCACGTAAGTCTTAGAGGGGTTCTGTAAAGCAGTAATCACAAATATCACATACAACACACTCGCAATCTCCACATGGACCTTCCTAAAAACAAAAACGAGGGCTTTATGGGGACAAGACCATTTGCACGGTGGGCTCGCACTGCAGCATCCATTGCCACACCCGACGAAGGGGAAAAATTGCCACAAGCTACCCAGAGGCGTGATAGCTGTGGGCAGCTTGCACATGGGAGTATTGATGGGATGTATTGATGAGTGGGACCAAAGCGGTAGGCTGGACCAAAGCGGTAGGCTGGACCAAAGCGGTAGGCTGGACCAAAGCGGTAGGCTGGACCAAAGCGGTAGGCTGGACCAAAGTGGTAGGCTGGACCAAAGTGGCTGGACCAAGAGTGTGTTGCTAGAAGCGGAAATCTGGAGAGACATCCATGGCCCATCCGAACTTGGCAAGCAGCGACTTGTTGAACACCTGCTTGGAGGGTGACGGTAGAGGGGTGATGGTAGAGGGGTGATGGTAGAAGGGTGATGGTATGGGGGTGATGGTAGAGGGGTGATGGTAGAGGGGTGATGGTAGAGGGGAGGCACGCAGGGGAAGGGCACGAAAAAAGAAGGAAAAAGGGGGAAAGAGAGGGAAGCAGGAGGATACGTGTGGGTGCCTGGGTGGGGAGTATTTGTTCTTTAGGACAAACAGTGATAGATAAAGAAAGGTGTGAAAGGCACAGAATAGAGCACACGAGTGCCACACACTGGCTTGCTTGTGGCTGGCATGTGGGTCGCGTGCGGAAGGCTTGTGGCTGGCGTGTGCCTCGTGTGTGGAAGGCTAGTGGCTGGCGTGTGCCTCGAGTGTGGAAGGCTTGTGGCTGGCGTGTGCCTCGTGTGTGGAAGGCTTGTGGCTGGAGTGTGCCTCGTGTGCGGAAGGCTTGTGGCTGGCTGGCATGCGATGCGATGCAGGGGTTTCTTTCCACACATCCCACACCACCTTTATAGGAACGTCATGCCGCTTGCACCATGCGATGGTGATGCGCGGGTCCATGTAGTTGATCTTGGACGTGGAGAGAGCAAACAAGCCCCACACGCACACTGACTCTAACAGAGCACACACCTTCTCTATAGGCACGTCGTGCCGCTTGCACCAAGCAATGGTGATGCGCGGGTCCATGTAGTTGATCTTGGACGTGCCCAGTGCCACCGTCTTGAGCTCGTCCTTTATGCTCATGTCCAGCTTCATCTTCTCCAGCCGCGCTTTTGACTGCGCCAGCTTTTTTTCCAACCTGAAAACATGAGAGGGAGAGGGGGGAAGCAGTGCCTTTGCTTCGTTCTTGAGCTCGTCTCGTCATTTATGCTCATGTCCAGCTTCATCTTCTCCAGCCGCGCTTTGGATTGTGCCAGCTTCTTCTCCAGTCTGCGTCAAGAGGTGTGCATGTGCATGGATGGGTGTGAGGAGGTGGGTGGGCAGGGAGGAAAAGGTTGATAGTGGTGCAGAGGGATGGGAGTCCAGAGCCACCGTCTTGAGCTCGTCCTTTATGCTCATGTCCAGCTTCATCTTCTCCAGCCGTGCTTTGGATTGAGCTAGCTTCTTCTCGAGTCTGCGGGCAGACGAGGGAAGGGAGGGGTGCCCACCATCACCATCACGCTCACTTATATGTACCTCGCCAATCACCATCACACAGCAACACAGCAGCACAGCAACACATCTATCACACCCAGCTCAGACTCACGCTTCAGGGTTGACCTTCCTCGCGCCCTCGCCCTCTCTCTTTACAGGCGGCTTCCCCTTGCGTGCCCGATCCAAATCCTCCTCCATCTCCTCCACCGCATCCTGCCAGGAGGGGAGGGAGAGGTGTGGGGAAGCGGCGGTGGCTGAGTGGGAGGCCTGGGGCATCTCTGA